AAACAACAACAAACTTGGTTAAGATATATTGAGAACTGACTTTATAACAAGATTAAAATTGTAATGGGAATTTATCGATACCATATATTCTTTTGGCCCTCACAGATGTAGTAAATGAAGTGAATAAACTTAAACAATTACCGATTAAACAACAACAAACCTGGTTAAGATATATTAGGAACTGACTTCATAACAAATTTGAAATTATAAATGGACCGTTAATGTAGAAATGTTCTACTTTCGTTTGGTGATAAAAAACCTTGCGATGCTGTTCGAGGAATTAAAACATTAGTGGCGGAATTCAAAATTTAAGAATGGGTTCTTTTTTCTAACAACCTGACAGAAACAGGTTTTCTTACATTAGAAAACCATACAATACTAAAACATGATTTAACCGTTGAATTTACGTTACGTTGCGTTATGTTGGGTTACGCACAGACACCGGATTCAAAATTTGAGGACGGGTTCCCTGTTCATCTGCCTCGCTAGCAACGGTTTCCCTCACTTCATAAACCCATACCATACCGTAGGAAGCCAATAGCTAGCTATCCTGTCGGTCATTAAACGTGACTGGAATTCTCTGATGAATATATTGCTGACAATGCGGTGGACTGCGGTCTCAGGTACAAAACACTGTTCGCAATATCTGTCGAAATGACAACCAATTTTATGTAAATGTGCTTTCAGGGCGCCATGACCGGTTTGCATTCTGAATAAAAAAACTTGATATTTGCGCGCTGCTTGTTGTATTTATGTTTAACAGTGCACGGCACGGGCATGTAGATTTTGTTCTCGGTCATATAATACTTTTTTGGCCGAATTGAATTCCAAATTAAATTGAATTATATTTTTTAGGTCAATTAGGCCAATAATTGTTTTAAAAAATTATTTTGGGAAACAATTGCACGCAATTGTAGAAAGAATAAAACAGTTATACAAATACAGCCAAATAACACTGTCCAAACCACTCAAATGCGAGAACGGCAAAAGAGTTGGGATTACCATATATATTGAACGAAATACCTTGATAGCTCGGGATTGGACAAATCTCGTTTCGATACCGAGACCTAGTATTATTCAGAAGGACCTCCTGAAGTATGCGCACCAAGATGGCGCACAACCTGAACTCAGATTGTGTACCAGGTTAGGATTCAGGTTATGCGACATCTTGGTGCGCGTACTTCAGGAGCACCATTTAAAAGATATGAATATTAGCAATTATATTGAATATCCCAAGTGATGCAAGACTCTCGAATCACTTAAGATAGTTATCTTTACTCTTGCTACAGCAACTTTGCAATATACGCATACGGATTCACCGGCACAAAAGCATAGAACAGGGTGGTCCAAACCCAGGCCCGCGTTTCATTATCTATGGCCCGCGTCACATTCGGAGAGTAATCAATAAATCGCATTTCGTGTTGTTTCGTAATAAAATTAATCAGAAAAATCTTTTTACCTATTGTTACATCACTAATGTCACTAAATTGACTAGTGTTATGGCTAGCTGAGGCAAATAGCAAATTTGAATGATGTGCTTGGCAGTCTAAATTATTATCTGCGTTTCTATCTTTTTGGTCGGGAATATATGCTAACAATATAGGCGTCATGGAAAATTAAAAATCGAATGCAATGCGATGGCGCCTGGGATGGCGATGTCTGATAACTATGTGTTTGCACAATAAAAGTGTTTGTTTTGTATTGCATTGTGTACCCATTCTTGGCACTATTGTGGCCCGAGATCAACGAAAAAATAAAATTGTGGCACTCGGAGCCGACAACCTTGGACCACCCTGGATAGAAGAAGGATAAGTAGTTAGTCTCGCAGAAACCAAATCATTATTAAATATGAAGGATAACCAGACTCAGTGATAATAACCTTCACTAACAAAAAAATTGTATGGACCTTTCCCCGAGCATCGACTTCCTTGTTTACCTCGTGACATTGGCCAATCAGCAAGATGTAAAAAGTGACGTAACAATGCCCCCTTTTCGCATCTGCTCAGACACTTTTCTCACTCAGACAGATTTTCAAGCGTGGTTGTAAACATTACCTCGTTTTCGCGTTTTTGAACTCTATTCGTTAGTTTTCAGTTGTGTTTCGGAAACTTAAACAAAAATCAGATAATTCAATGATTACTCTGTCTTCCTAGGAGTTTTAATTTAATTGCAGTAATGAAAAATAGTGTAGAAATAGCTGTGATAGACTATCCTGAAATTCTTTACCGGTACATTTAAAAAAACAGATTGTTGTATGCGATGAATCATAATGATGGTTTGAAACACATACCCCATTTTACAGGCGCTAACTCGCAAAAGCACTCTTAAAATAGCCCCAAAAATTTTGCAATGGTAAAGTATAGGAAGAATTTTCCGGGGTTCAAAGGTCGGGGAAAGGTCCATTGATGTAGAATAAATAAAAATTTGTTGGACTACCATACTGTACGGTCGGTGCATTTAAGTCTACTGGACGGGACGCTGGGACAACTCGTCAAAATCGTAGCTGTCCCGGTTGAACCGGAACGTATGGTACGCCTATATACAGCTCAAGCTCGAGATATATGAACTGTTTCAATCTTACATTTATAAAATAAAAATTTCCTCAATTTCAGCTGATACCCTGATAGTATGAATATAAGACATATGTAATTATAAACGATGATACGTAAAAACATTGGGTCTGGTATAGTTTAGTACCACATGTACTTCTAGTTGACCTGGCTCAACAATTTTTGCATATGTCAATCCTAACCCCCACCTGACTACGTCACCAAATAATTACGTCATTTCGACGTCACAGTGGCGTAATAAGGCCCACCGAAGTATGCGGTTGGTCGTCCAAAACGCGCAGACGATCACCCGAAATCGAGCAATCAATTTCTCCCGTTTTCTCGTCACGACGATCACGATAGGAGAGAGATCGCCGGCTTTAGCAAGTTTGTTATCGGCGGCGCAGATGTCATTTCGGGCGATCATAATTATACTTTGGCAATCCCTATGACGTGATGGTGACGTCGTAGTGACGTAATTTTTGGATGGCATAGTCAGGTGGGGGTTAGGAATAGCATATGCAAAATTCATTAAGCTACGCCCCCCGGAAGTACTTGTCGTACTAATCTATACTAGACCCAAAACATTTACGTCTTGAACCAAAGTAACTTGACGCGATGCTGGATGACAAAAACGAAGCTATAATGTGAAATAACTTTCGAATGCGATTAGAGACCAGTTATTGCGATGTGTTGGCTACATTGACTATTTCACATTGTCTCCGATAAACTATTTTAAATATGTCCAGATGGGGATTCCCATGAAATTTGAATTAATGACACTTAGTTCAGAGCTTCCGTCGAGTTCTCATTTTGAGACTCGAAACATACAGTGTCCTGAAATAATTCTCAAATGATCGAATGAAATGTAACGTTGACTGTATGAGTTTTTTAATCGGAATCTCAGAAGAGAGAAAGAGCACGCATGTGTGGACATTTCGAGATATACTATGACAAGTTTATGCAGAAATGCTTAGTGATTCTAAATCTTTTTTAGTTTGCGGACCGGTGAACCTTCAAAATCAACCCAGAATGTCAAAAACACAAAACATTTTTATATATGTGATTACGACGAAAATATGCAACTTAAAAGCAAACAATTCAATTTAATGAGAAATTTGTCGTTGTCTATTTGACATCGTACGTGTTAAGCGCGGCTCTAATAAAGTTTATGCAAAGCGAAGTGGAGCGTCCACTTCCACGCCATTTCTCTGCTATACCAAAAATTCAGGATATTCTTTTTCAAGCGATATCCATAACTGCGATTATGGCACGCATTATTCATGCTTCAACACCAACGTGGGATTGAAGGAAAGCTCAATCAACGATTCTTTTTCAACAGCGTTAAGATTGTACGAATATTATACTTTGCAAAAGGATTAACAATCCAAAAATTTTTAGACTCAATAATAGACTCAACGAAACATGCAGCCTATCAGGCCCTGAAATGAGCGTATCATCTCTGACTACATTTTATTTACGCACTATTAGGAATTCAAACTTACAAAGTAAATGGGCAGGCAGCACATCAGTGCCTTGCATTTTACAAATGAGATAGAATATTGAAATTTATCTGACGAACCGGTCGGGAGGTTGGCTTGGACCGGCGGTTGAGAACCACTGATGTAGAACGTAGTGCAATAACCGAAATCATTTCTTAAATCGTAGTGACATACATATATAGGGTCTCCATGAAGTCTTGAAATTTTTTAAAACTTCAAAGGTAATTTATCGATACCATGTACTGTTAATAAATATAGTAAAAATACGTTAACAATTACTGAATAAAAAACAACGAATCTGGTTAAGATATATTGAGAACTGACTTCATACCAAAATTGAAATTGTGAATGAACTTTATGGACATTTAATTGCCAAAAGTTAAAATTTATTTCTGACATTCAAATATCAAACAATCTGACTTTGCTTTACCCCGCTTTGATACAACTTCTCCGGTTTAACTAAACACCTGGTGCCTCGCTTCACTTGTCAAAAACATTCAACCTCGTAAACTTACACACCTAATGTTTTGGTTCATTTCGGTCTCGCTGTAAGTCGGCACAAAGGTGTATTGACGAGTTTCTGACTTGATGACAGATAACGCAAAATTTTGGTAATGATTGCTTAGATACAGTATCTGTAATTCGCGTTGTCAAAACCTCAAAATCGACGGGGTCGTTTAAATAAGGCCTTACTTTTGACCTCCTGAAGTGTGCGCACCAAGATGGCGCACAATCTGAACTCAGGTTGTGTTCCAGGTTAGGGTTCAGGTTGTGCGACATTTTGGTGCGCATACTTCAGGAGTACCCTAACTTTTAATGTTCGCATTTTATTTATCAATAAAAGCGAAATAAATAAAAGTAATACCCAAACCTTCTAGCGAATAATACAATCTCTACCTACTAAATAGATTCCAAAGCAATCGTGTTGATCCAAAGCAAGCACTTCATGTTCATGAATTTACTTTATTTTTTTATTGAATTCGCAAAACAAAATTACTAAATAATATAACATCATTGCTTTCAGTGCCAAAGGCACATCATAGGCAAGCATAGTAATGTCAATTGAGTATTTAAACACAAACTTATAATTATAATTCGCTATTATAAAAAAAAAACTTCGAATTTAAAAGTACTGTAGGAATGAAACTTCAATTAAAATGAATTGCTAATTCGCTGGCTTCAATCCAAATGAACAAAACTTGGAAACTGTTTTTGAAAAAGGAAAAAAAAAAACGTATCTTGACGGCTTTTAAACATCTCTAAGAATTTTTTGAAATAATTTGGTGAAAATGAATGGAAAACTCTGATTACAAAACCAGGCTTTATTCCCTTGTAATATTTTTCAATCTTTTTTTCATAAATTCCAACATTTGCCCTTTTGTCTTGACTCTCTCATATTACAATGTTTCGGAAGTAACGAAGAAAACTTTTAGGTTTATATTTTCAGCCACGACACGTTCAAGATTTTTTTTATATATTTGATTTGCCACATTGATATATTTACCACATAAAACTTTTCACGAGTCCCGGAATGCTACGAGATGAGTACCCAAAATAACAAATAACGTTTTTATCATATATCAATATCATTATATATAGAGAGTGTTTGCTAGAAAATAAGAAATTTGTCAAACAGCCATTTATTTTTACAAAGTTTTTAAAGACATATGTTATATCACACTCATATATGCTCAAATGTCGTTTGTGCACTTCAGAGCAGTGTCTTAACCTAGAAGTCCAAGCTCCGTGTAGCGTTTTGAAGATTAATTTGTGGGATATTGTACCAAGCTCTTACGAAGCTTGTTGGCAAGCCAATATTTGTAAAAATAATTAGCTGTTAGACAAATTGTCTATTTTTCTAGCGACCACACTTTATATTGAAAATTAAACATTTTGAAATGTTTCTGCAGACTTATGTAAACAACTTCTCGCTTTGACTATAAACGTCTGGAAAAAGATGGGAGTAGCAACATATACAACCCTTTTCACTAAGAACTGATATTCAGGTTCGATATAAACAAAACAAAACAATATAACACATAATTAAAAAGAATTGAAAGTTTTTAGCAACATCTGAAATTGAATTATTTTCGACAGTTTTATGGTGTCCAAACACCTTCAGGTACTTCTAGACCAAAACACAAACAGACTTGTCTAGTCAACACCTTATAAACGTGTTTCCGAGCGTTTCCAACGTTGATTGAATGATCCTGGTCGGCGTAAAACTACAATTAAAAAGTAATTTTTGTCAAAATATAATTTTGATGGTTGAAAGCCGAAATCGAATAAGATTCCGTGGAAATTAAATTTTCATTAGAAAAATTTCGTCGTGTGCAAGCAGTATTTATTAGTTCATCATTAACGCTTTTGATTTCTTTTTCGGTTTCTGAAGAAAGTTTACTATTGATTACCATCATGAACTGCAAGAGGTTAGGTTTCAATTTGTATGTGGTAATCAAATGATTGGGTGAAAGTACGAGTTATAATTGATGTTTGACAATAAGAGGGAGTGTTTGGTAGGTTTACTAGTGTTTACTACTAAGTATTACTACTAAGTTAAATTTATAGTTATGATTGGATAAATTACAATCCGTGATTAGGGGAATGGGGAATGTCCGACCTGCATACCCGTTAGAACGATAATGAGGAGATGAAAGGCTCTTGTGCGTTTGCAAAAATATATTTTAAAACTTCACTCACAAAATCGTTGAAGTGGATGTCATTTGCCACAAGTTCCTGTTCAATCCTAGCTGCGTTCTGGAAATGGACGTTGTCTGAATATAAATTAAAAAATATTCAAAACATATTGACGATGTGAAATAAATAACCAATCCAAAATTTTATGTCTTTTGATCTAGGGTTGGGCATTTCAAATCGAATCAAATTATTTGATTCGGTTCAAAAGAAAATTTCGAATTGCCTCAATCTTGATTTTGTTCTGTTCAAATGTAATACGAGATATGACTCTTTCTCCCGTGCGAGTTGTTGATAAAACATGTTCCACTAATATGAAATTTCCACTAAACTTGCAACATTTTGTTTTGAAAGTATATATATATATACCGAATGTAGCTCATACGATTTATTATACAGTCTTACGAGTATTACACAGAGATTTCTCGAGCTTCTGGAATGTTTTATTGAGGTTACTCTCTACAAAAAAGTTAGTAACCATTGATCTAGATCAGGATTTCCCAAACTCGGGTCGCGTTACCATGGGAGTCCGTGATGACTGCACATGGGGTTCGTAACAATATGAAAAGAGTCTAAAACACACAAATAGATCTTAAACCTATTGAATTGCGTCAGCCTGTCAGTATTTAACGTTAGAATCTGTATTAATTCAGACTCATAAGTTTTATTTCATCAAAGGAAACAACCAACATACTTTCTCTCGTTTGTTAGGCACATATATTGATACGACATAGGATGGAGTTCCGTCAAAAACAAGATTCACAAACAGGGTCCGCGGCTCAAAAAAGTTCGGAAAACACTGATCTAGATTACAGTGGTTCTCAACCTCTTTTCTTTCGTGGGCCATTCTTGTTACACAAAAATTCTGGGGCCAACAAACTTTTTTATGCTGGGGATAAACTTCAAGGAAAACATAGAATCTTTCTGCGAAAATAGACACTTTAACTTTGATAATAATAATGTGAAAATTACCACCTTGTAACAAAAACAAGCATCATTTATTGTTACTACCATAAAATTTAACTAACTTTATCAACAACCCCAGGTATTTTTAATAAGTCTGTGGTCCACCAGGATATGTCCAGTGGCCCACTGGTTGAGAACGAGTGATCCAGAAAGTACGTGAATATGATATTTTAAGAGGTAAATCTTACCATCTGCCGTTCCATGGATCAAGAAATATTTTGACGATGACATATTCTTTGCCACATGCAGCACAGATCCAAGATTGTAACCGTCTTCATTATCGTCTGTTGATGGTAATCTCATGTATCGTTCAGCGTAGATAGTATCTGGGGAATTTGTATATTGAAAATTAAAAAGTAATGTTTATAAGCTGAAAAATATTTTTAATATTAACGTCATGAAAAAATGGGCCCAATCACAAATGAACCAGCCTAACAGAGCACACAAGTAAATTATCACTCGGACAGTTTGTTGAGTGTTCACGGAATCACGGACAGCAAAAACATGTTTCATCAATAACTTACTCGTGTAAAAAAGTCATATCTTAGAATCATTTCAAAAAATGACATGAATAAAAAAAAATTGGGGGTTCAACTTGACCCCGGGGGAACATAAATTATATCAAGTTTTGCACAAGACAATCCTATTAGATGACCAACGTAGCTTACCGTAAAATCTCCAGTCGGCCAAAGGTGCAACCGCGAATCCGCACTTGATTGTACTCTCAGCGTCTCGTCCAAGGATAAGTGAAGTTGTATATCCGCCATATGACTAAAAACAAAAAAGCTAGATGTAGGTTACCATACGTCCTTGTTTAGTCGGGACTGTCACGGTTTTGACAAACTAGTTAGACAAACGGTTTTGACTAACTAAACGACTTTGGTCAGACAAAACGTTATGGAAGTACATTTGTGTTAGTGTGCAGCAAAACGTTTTTAATTGGATAGTTAACTGAACTGTAGTTAAATTATTCGAACGCCGAAAAGAAAAAGCACGCTTTCCAATGGTTTGAATACCTACTAAGCCCACAAATCTACCAAGGTTTGTCCAATCCACACTGTCCCGGTTCTTTGTTTGATATATATAGTAAGCCTCGTTGAATGTGCATATGGATAAGAAAATAAGAACCGGCACCTGGAGCATTGACATACAGCAGAGGTGAAATTCAAAATTTGATGGATAGCGTCAAAGATAAGGTTTTGCTAGCTGGGGTTGTAAATAAGTCAGAAAACTCAAATGTTTTGGATTGGTTGTTTATACTTCGTTGTACGGCAACATCACAACTTAATATTTAAAACAGCCACAATATATATAGAAAACAATAAAAGGCAGCCGACCTCCAGGCCAGCGGCCGGAAAAGAGAGCGAAAAATATTTTATCTCACACCTTATGGTGTGATAGAAGTCAAAACCCTGTCTACACTGCCTAAATCAAAGGCCAGTGAAATAAGCATGTATAGATTCATGGAAAAATATTAACCTAACGACCTATGTATCGACGCACTGGAATTCGCGTGGTGGCGCAGTTATTCAAAGTTTGGGATGAAATAACTGGCAGTCCGGAAAAAGTATTAACTTCTGGGAACAGTTCCATGTAAAAACTAATACTGGGTAAAAAAGCAAGTTTTTGTCCGACGAACAACTACTATAAGGGAACTAACAATTAACAAAGAGATATATACGCCTTCTATCTCTGCAATATCAGGCACAACATCCCAAGCACAATATCACGAGTTAGAGCTCATCCCTAATTTCGTTCACTTTATTTGTAGAAAAGGGCGATCCCCAAACTGAACCCATAATTTTCAATTACTTTTATGAAAACGTAGACTATCTGTTGAACAATTGAACTCCTATTTTTAGACTATTATACCCGAAAGCTTCAATCTTCTAGGTCTAGGACGCTTTGAACGAATGCTATGTCTTCTTTGGAAGTCCAGAGAATACTCTGGAAGTAAGTTGGTTTCTGTTTTTGAGTGATCTTATATACAAACTTTATCCATTCTAGGAATATAGATGTCAGTAAAACAACAAACACATATGCTGGTGGTAGACTCACTCAGGTTAAGTATCATATTAATTGTACTCACCCATCCCCAAACAGCTATTCTTGTTTCATCGATATAGTCCTGTTCGGCCATGTGTCTGTAAATGAAAAAAATTACTCAATTAATTTGCCAGTTAAGGTAAGAAGAAGGGAAAAATAAGTGTTATACTTGTGCAAAAAGTCTCAGAATAGACAAAAAATGTAACGTATATCTGTGATAATATGAAATATAAGGCTCCAAAAAATACATTCTGAAGAGAACCTAACTTTTGTGCAAATCGTCCAATATTATTGAAAGTTTTGGGTACATTCATCCACAAACAGAAATTCAGTGTTAAATAATTTTTATTTAAGTAATTTAAAAAATTTATGAGTTCAGTTATGTTTTAGTCAACTTTACTTCGAGTACAATCATTTTATTCTTAAACTTTATAGTTGTGGATATTGTATTACTTGTTATTTCGTATTCAATTTTCGTGTTTTCCCTACGTTACTTATGTTCAATGTTCCAAAAATATATTGCTAATTAATTGTCTATTTTTGCTGTTCTAGAAGAGGAACACGTCAATTTAATGCTGTGCTGTGAGTGAAAGTAATCATGAATACTGTTGGCGTGAATATTCAGCAAGTAAGGTGTCTAGTTTATCATATTTATAGTTGCAACAATGTGGTGTACCATATATATAGGGTTTCCATAAAGTCTTGAATTTTTTTAAAAATTGCAAGAGGGAATTTATCTATACCATATATTGTTTTGTTTCTCACAAATTTAACAAAGGAAGTTAAAATACTTAAACCAATTACTTTTTAAAAAACAACAAATCTGGTTAAGATATATTGAAAACTGACTTCATAACATGATTGAAATTGTAACGAGAATTTATGGACACCCTGTTTTAACGAGTCTGTTAGAAGTGGGTAAGTTTACTTGTAAAACAAAAATTTGAGTTTTACTTACCTTGCAAATTCAAGTTGGTCAAACGGTTCATATTGTCCCAGTTTTCTGTAGACATCGTACATGAAGTCATTCCCTGTTATATAAATATGAGTGAATTTTGTGTAAATTTTAATATTCACCTAGAGACTCTAGTAGTGCATTGGTTCTCAACCTTTTTGGTGGGAGCAAAACCGCAATGAAACATACCAAAGGCTTGAAGAACTCATGTACAATACTCATAAGGCTAAAAAAAACTTGAAAGCAAGCCGAATACTGGCAAAAACAAAATGATCTTCAACGTGTAACTATTTTAATAATAGTGGCAAACTTAATAAGTAATGTGTTAATTTATAATATATATTATTACCGTATATATTATATTTTAAAAATATACACATAGTAATATAGACTCTGCATTTGAATGGAAATATGCTGAACTCTTCCAATGTTCTACCGGGACCCCATAGGATGCCGCGAAACCCAGGTTGAGAACCGCTGCTTTAGAGAAAAGTATTCTTGATTATTTTAAATAACCATTGCTTTTAATTTACCGTAAAAACATGATCCACGACCATCCACACTTGCAACGATCACATCAAGAGAACTTGGAACGAATCTGTTTGCCCAACTTCTGCTCCAACCTGCAGCTACTTTCTGGTATCCTGGTCCAGCATATCTAGAAAAAAAGCGATGATCGAATATATAATGGACACGAAAATCGCACCGCAAACTTCACGACTAACGTAAACGTTACCACCACATGGTGCGCATTTTTTCATGACGTCATCGCACAATAAACGAATCCCACAGAACCCAAAGTAAACAAGGGGGCAATGCTCAAAGTACGGACACGAAAGCCAAATCTAAGTGGTACGGCTATGCAATCTGTCACAACTGACTACCGCAATCATAACAACTATCCCATACGAGGAACCGCCACTAGGTGCGCAATTTTGTATGATGTCATCACACACAATAAACGAATCTCACAGAGCCCACAAACCCTTTTTGAATGAATAAAAGTAATAGTCCTGCAGCGTCATACAATCTTAAATACAATCTTAAATACAATCTTACAAATACAATGTTGAACATATATATATATCGGTAGCCTAACTTATTGGACACGAAATGGAACTATGGATCGTTTTGTTATTATTTTGTCGATGTTCTTGTTCTCGTTGGTCTTTTTCTTCTTGTTGTTATGGAAAGAATTGATATTTTTCTAGGCGGCTATTACTTTATTTAAAACCAAATGAAGAAACTTACACATCTATTAGAAGGGGGTACTTCTTTGTGGGGTCAAATGTCTTCGGCTTCCAGATCTGGTATCTAAAATCTGCGAAAAGAAATGTGCGACATAGTTATGCTTCATTTCACAAACTACAATTGTCGAAATAAACTTTTCATAAATTCAGTACAAATTTGAGAATTCACATTATAGCCAGGTGTGGCGAGATAAATTCTGGAACCCAAATGAAATTCCTGCTAGCTAATACACAATTTCCTAACATTTTGCTTACTAATATAATTTTTCGTAGGAGAAATCAAATACCAAATTTTTAATAAATTTTGAATTGATAGTGAAATTGATAATTTGCCGGGAAGTCAAAAGATGAGATCTATAATTAAACAAAGGCCCCGTTATATTGCAAAAATGTGAGATTTGAAAAAATTACCCCCACCACGTTTCAAAATGTCAAATTAGTAAGCATCCAGATGGGGTTGAGACAAGGAATGATTTGAAAATTTGAATTTTTCAGCACAATCTGCATTACCAACTCCTAACTGGACAAGCCGGTAGGCGCCCAGTTGGATCTCTGCCATTGCTCGAGGCCCGCATCATTTCAGTTTACTAACAGATAATAGGAGACACTACTAAAAACGCCAGTTCATTTCAAACGCTGCGCGTTTCGTAGTCTTACTCGCGTGACTGGTATATTGTGGCTGAAAGTTAAAAAATATTCTTCACTAAAATTCCTAAAGCTCCTCCAGTTTATGGAGTGTCGACCCCAAGAAGATAACTTATTGGAAAGAGTATTTTGCTATGCGGAAGGTAGCGTTCTTGGAATTTTAATTTTCGACTTGGTTAGCGAGAAAACGGCGATAAATTGTGAAAAAAATTGAAATTTCATAACGATCGGCGCGTTTTTCGTTGTTTTCATGGAAACGAAACCTTCATCCGGACTTTCCATAAAACGCACAATACTAGGGTGGCTGGATAACTCACGTAAAAAATTTCATCCAGATTGGTCCAGACGCTACATTCCTAGATCCTACGCTCCTAGAGCGGAGATCCAATAATTACTAATTATATTGAGCGTTGGCGGGTACTTTTTACAAAAGTTCCAAATTGAAATAATGATCGTAATGCCGCATAAAAGACTAAACATATATTATGTAATCACGAAATAGGTTCTTGAAATAGGGATGGGGACACGATTATAAAATTGATAATTGATTGCCGAGGAGTCAAAAGATATACTTCAAGGTTCTAGGAAAATTCGCCGCAGAAAATTCCACCGCAGGAAATCTCGCCGCAAGGGCATTTTGTTGTAAAACAAGTATTTGTGAGAGCATTAAAATCGCCGCAAGAGCTTTTTTGCTGTAAAACAAGCAAATTGCTCTTGCGACGATTTTTCTATGCGGCGAAAACGAAATTTCCTGCGGCGAATTTTCCTAGAACCGAAAAATATACTTACCATATCCCGTTTCACTTGTAAACTTGCCATACTCTTTAGTAGACATGTCCGTCGCTGCAATAGCATCCTCAAGTTCCTCATTACTCTGCAAAACTACTTCGTTAACAAGAACTGAGATCACATCGGTGCTGGTCTTGTTTATTTCGGCTTCAAGGTAGAGAGGAGCTCCGTCACCTGCGTTTTAAAAATTGGTTTGTTCACTCATAATAGATCTAATTGTCTATGGAAGTGGGTTTTTAACCACGGTTCCGCGCCATGCTAGACTAGAGTAGTGATTCCCGAAGTTGATTGCCCAAAATTAGAAGCGAAAGGATATTCGTATGTAATCTAAATACGGTACGAATAATCGAGATACGGGTATAATTGAACTGTTACAAATACACATGTGCTTGAACTGTAGTAATGGCGGAATCCAGAACGCGAAAACGTAAAAACATAAGATGTTGCCCCTTTTCACTTAAGTTCGGTGGTCAATATTAAATCGTTACGCGCTGTAGTTGGCCCCTGGGCCCCGGTTTGAAAACCACTTCCTTATGCAGGTTGGCCAGAACATTACAGAGGTTCCTCAAGCCTATGCTGTTTTATATATAATCAAATTAGATTTGTTACTATCATTAAGCCTGCTATGCTTTAAAGATAACATTGTTTCGGTTAACGTAAATTTGTTAACTTGACTGTTTTGGCAACGCAGGTCGTTTTAAATCCCTTGTCCCAAGTTTCAACAAAGATACAATAAATTGAGTAAGCAACGCAGGACTGGAAACATTCAGATCCAAAATCCGTAGCAAGGACATAATAGGTTTTTCATATTTATCTCGGGGAGAGGAAATTCGAATAGTTAATTATATGAGGCCGGTTACGCGAACCATCCTACGGCAACAAAGAGACCAGCAATCATCTCGCACAAATTATCTCCATGAGATTCTAATTTGTAATCTCACTCTCAGAGCCATTGAAAGTGCGATGAAAATCATATGCTAACGCTCAGCGCGATGCGTCAACCGCCGAACTTAGTTGCTGCTTGTATACAGCAAGGCTTCCCAAACTGGGGTTAGCGATACCTCAGTGTTGCGCGTAGTGGATTGTAGTAGCTGCATAGATTACACCAATTTCACACAAAGTACTATTATAACTATTTCCTTTTTAAGCTTTTAATTAAAAACACAATTATTAAAATTTGTGGTAAACGTAAATACTGTATCACGATTTAGAGAAAATACACAGGGTTAGGGAAGCGACGCGCAACAAAGCCGACTTAAACAGCAGTCGCGGAAAGTTTTAATCTATTGAAAAAGTGTCACCCTGGTATAAATCCTTGTTCAGAGCAAAAGTAGTGAATTAGCATCGTGTATATAGAAAATCTTACCTCCACATCGGATTAAAGTATAACTTCCATCGGGACTGGACGTGGAAGTAACTTGATCGCATCTTCCTGGATATTGTGCCACGTATTTACATGTAATGCATTCAGGTTCAGATGGATCATCTTCGTTAGTTCTATAAATATGTCTGTGATGTGGAGACTCCTTCGTGGCGCTGAAATACCTGTGAAATAATTTAGTCATAAATAGGGGTTAGCAGTATTGGGAAGGTTCGATTCATTGACACGGACTGGAGAAAAGTCCAGCTACTGCTAGCGTTGCAAGCGCGACAACCTGCTGTAACGTGGTGTGTGTGTTGATCTCAAATCTCACAATTGGGGTTGGGGGATAGAGTACAAAAGGTCAAAGATTACAGGAATAAGGAAATGAATCAATATAATGCACTCACACTTTTCTGTTATCGGGATCGTAAAATTCTACCGAAGGATACGAAGCACTTTCTGAAGTCACAGTGTATTCGCCCGAGGTCACTGGTACTGCTGCAGTCTTTAAACACAAACAAGAGAGCAATTCTTAAATATATGAATTCGAAGGCAAAAGAGGGAAGAATATAAAATCTTTATAGTACAAGTAGTCTTTCTTGGTGAGAAACTCCCGACTTAGATGACCACAATCTGGAATGCGATCTCAGAGCCTCATGAGGTTGCGAAATTTTCCATTTTGATGACGTCATCACAAAAACTTACCTGTGCTGTCCTCCCCCCTCCTCCCCGTCTTACCAAGGGTGTTCAGCAATGGTAAGGCTTCCAGATACATAGTAGCTCTTTACACATCGTTAGGTAATAGTGATTGTCCGATCAGGGTACTTGGTTTCTAACACAATATTAATCGCCTCACCTTGGGAGCAAAGTATTGAATAAGCCGGTGCTCCAGAAGTGTGTATACCAATATAAAGGTAACTAATTTTTTTTGCCTACTTTACATCAAGATCAAGTTGTGTAAAGGGACTGAAACCTATGGTCAGAAGTATATTCACTTAACTGACACAGACAGTCTCGAACTCGTAATAGAATTAAAATGAGGAAAATCGGAATAAAATTTTGGCTCAACCCTAACCTGGTACACATACTACGGGAGTACCGATACCCGAGCTTGTCTAGAGCCAGATTTTTATCATTACAAGTTCGGGGACTATCTGTGTTAGCCAAGTGAATATACCACCTGCACATAGGCTTCAGTCTCTTTACACAACTTGATGTAAAGTGGGCGAACAAAATTAGTCACCTCCATATTGGTACACACACTTCTGGAACGCCAAAAAAGGTTGGAAACCACTTATAAAATATACCGAATATTTACCAACCTTGTTAACCTTGTACAAATGTTGCCATCCATTGTGCGGTCTCACTGTATAGAATTCACCCAGAGTTGCACCGAATACCGGTATCCAGTACGGTCTACGTTGGTACAACCAACCATCTGCGTTACTATATTTGAATGTGTCGCTCTGGAAAATAAGGAAGCAATGTTCAAATTTATAGTCATGGAGTTTGAAGGTCATATAAAAGTCTTTCTATCTGTCTCAAAAATTGTTCCCATGATTCAAAACAAAGAAGATAAATGTTGGGTGTAGCGTCAGGAAATATAGCATTCAGTTAAAATTCGAAAAAAGTAATAGCTTTCTGGCGTTGTTGGCGCCGAGTCTTGAGAGTCTGAAAATCATGTCAAGCTACCACAATTGCTTTGTGTGATTCAAAAAATGCTTTTATTCATCGACTTCCAACCCCCTGGCTATGCCCCTGTAACAGCAATGTTGAACAGGGGTCCTTAAACACCCATCCACGAGTAAGCGGTCATTTAAGTATACCCCATCACTCAGCTCAGTACGTTTTTCTCCATCCTTAAATACTGAAACTTTGACTGTGATTTGTCCCAGGGGGTGTCTAGATGAATGCCATTGGGGCAGCCGCTTCGAACACGTTATAGGGATACGTTTGTTGCTTGGTTTGATGATTTAATTATAATATATACAAACATTTCACTCTTTTTTTGATCTTTAATTTATTTATGCTTGTGTATAACAACATATATAATTTGTTTATCCTCATAATTATTTCCAAAGTTAGGAATAAGGGACTTGCCTCGGGCAGCAGAAAAGTTTGACACGTCTCTCATTGGCCCACGACAAGTTTTTGATTTTTGATCATTTAATTTTAAAAAGTCTCTGTAGCGCCCTTTACCAAAAAATGCTCTTTGCCCTTTTTAATATACGCTAAAATACCTATTATTAAAATGTGATCTAAACTAAAAAACAGATAATTTAAAACATATTCTAATCAGAACATAACTTTTGTACAATATATCTTAGATTTCTAAAAGTTTAGGTACAATCATACACAAACACAAACGGAAGTTCAAATGTCAAATAATTTTTTTTCATTTCATAAAAGTAATTAAAAATTTTATGGTTTTATGTTTTGTTTGCGTCCTCCTGTAAATACTAACTTTTTGTGAATGAAAATTAAATACATACGTCGGTGTAAGTGATGCTCGTGTTCCCGGGATTGACATCAATCAACCGCATTATGCTGTTGGTCTGTAGTCTATCACACCAAGTTACCGCGGCCCTGGAGCCACTGGCCCATGTCACTCGATTAAAAAGGTAGTCACTGAAATGTATTATTAAAGTTAAAGGCACTGGTTCATAACTTTTCATTTCCCGTGGCCTCCTTCTGGAAGCTTTTAGCACTCAGGGCCCTTTTTTTTATCATTTTAGTAGTATTTCTAGTGATATTTTCATTGGTATATTCCAAATCCTAATATTAATCAAGAATTCAGCCTGAACCTAAAGACTTGATTAAAAAGAGAAGATATTTTTCGTGATGATGAGAATAAGAAAAAAGAATTTTACCAACAAGATCAACAACAACATAACGAGAATATCGGTTGGAAACCGAAGACTTATCGATCGATAGTTAGGGGATCCCCCAAAACAGAAACTGCACTTTCGATTCATCCGCTCTTGTAACTTGCGCACTGCGCATCGCACACACACACTCGGCGGGTTTCAAAATTCTCTCGCTTTACAAAAATCTAGATCACTATATCAATAATTGATTGATAACTCGCTAATTATACGACATAATTCGCCCAAAATCAATAGGATTCTGGTCCGAGATAAGATGAATGCACATGCAAAATCTGGAGCAGATTCAATCCCGCTTTCGTGAGATATCGCGTGCATCTAACAGACACACACACACACAGACAGACAGACAGACATACAGACAAATACCTATCAATATACTTACCGATCTTAAGATCGATAAGTAATAATAAGCGATGCTTGAATATATTGACACGAAATCCAAAACGTACCGCAAACTTCAGGACTAACCAAACGACCACCACAAGGTGCGCGATTTAATGACGTCATCGCTCACATAAAACGGGTCTCAAAACTTTTTGAAATAAATAAAAGTAATAGTCTTCTAATCACTGACAATTTCAAGCAACTGGTCCAGTTTTTAAAGAGAAAAACGAGTTTTCATAACGATAGGAAGAAGAAAAATAATTCAAACAAATCAACAACAACATAATAACAAGCGATGCTCAAATATATATAGACACGAAGTCTAATAGCAATAGCCTTCTAGAAAAAATACAATTCTTTACCACTGGACATTTCAAAGCAATTTCAAGCAAAGCTCAAAGAGAAAAGCGACTTTTTCATAACGAAAACAATATAAAAAATAATTCTAACAACACATAATACCAAAACGATCCATATGTACATTTTGTGTCCAATAACGCACTGAATGTGAAAACTTTAAATAATCTTACACTCCCATGAAATCAGCAGGGGGCAAAACCTCTCTAATGTCTTCTGTTACAGTGTTGAATACAAACACTTTATTTGTTGGCTGTGGTGTTCCGGCCTGTAATAAAATGCAAACGTGTGTTAGTAAAAAAATTCTCACTTGTTAAAATGTTAGAAGAGGAATGAAGGTTCTTTTGTGCAAAGCACTGCCGTTAATGCAAAAATATAAGATATAAAAAACAATCCTCGCAACATTTTTAAATACCAAAATTATCCAGTTATCGTTAAAGTTGCCGTAATGACTGATTTGAAAACTTGAATTCCCAGCACAACCTGCATTCCGAACCCAGAACCTAACTGGATAATTGCTAATTGTCCTATTTTGACTGTTGGCGGGGTGTTTTTTGGCATTGGCTTTGTACAAACGATCCGAATGGAGCAGCTAGCATTGACCGTCTCGCAATTTCAGTAAGAATTAATAGAAAATGGAATAAACTAATCACCTTGGGATAAGAAATATCAATCATAACTTGATATTTTTTCTCGTCATATCTTTCATAATTGACGTGTTTGCACATTGAATCATCAAACTGAGCGTAGGCTAAAAATTGTCCGTCTGGAGAGAAGTAGATGACATTGTTGCTTGAGATCATTTCCTCTGAAAAATATTGATTGAAAATATGACCTTTGACATTATACTTTCTGCTTCCGGGTTGGAAGGAATTTTGTGGACTAGTCTATTAAAACTCATAACAAATAACTTGAATAGCTTCATGAGCACGATGGCCTATCTTACTAAGCGTTAGACTTAACTGTGGTGGGATCGTATGTGGGGCTGGTAATATCCGCATATCTGCTGATTTCAGAATCGAATCGAATATTTTTTACGAATCGAATCGAATCTCGAATACTTGGAAGATATGTAGTTGTATCGACGGGTCTATTGTAATGGGTTCTTGGGAAACATAAAATAGTGAAAACACGCAATCTTTCACTCAGACAGTTTGCTGAGCGTTCACACACAGTAAGAAACATGTTTCACGAATCAGTCGAAAAAAAAAAGTCATATGTTCGGAATGCATTTCAAAAAATTGACGTGAATAAAATAATGAGGGATTCATCTCGACTATCGCAAACAAAAACAAAAACAAAGATGGCGGCGATTCAAAATTCCCGTCTGAATCGATTCGAATAATTTACTAGTCGATTCGAAATGCCCAGCCCTGATCTTAGGTTACACATCTCGGTTTCAAATCGCCCAATATTAGTGTAATAAATTTTGTAGGCAATGGAGAGCCAGAACGATCCCAGTTCTTCAAATAAAAGTAACTTTCTACATATCGTTAGATATACATGACTTCTTGTACATGGCCTTGTGCAGAGCGAAAGCCTCCTTCCTACGCTACTGCTTATTGAAAACATTGTTCGATGCGAAAGCCCCGATTAAGCTTCGTATTAAAAGTCAAACACAATCAATTGAAAAGCAAGATTTTATATAATCCATACATGTCGCTTGATACTGTGGATGTTTGTGTACAGACGTACCAGAAACTATCAAAATAAGGGTTGTGAATTTTCTAATTGCGAAGTTACCGTATCAGTCAGCGGGTCAGGTCGGAAGCCGGAAACATAGCTCTTCAAGGGTCTTGAGGTTAGGATAAGATAGGATAGGATTTTACATATTTATCCCGGGGGAGAGGAAAGCCGATAAGACGGCTTATCCATATGGCGAACCACGGCCTCTCGTCCGGTTACCATTCCAAGTCGGGTATGGGATTAGTTTTACTGTATCGTTTGTTTTCGGAAGCATGGACTTGGTGGTGGAGGAAGCCGTAACCGACCAGCGGTTACGTGAACCACCCAACGACGGCGAGGAGTCCAGCAATCCTCTCGCACATAACTATCCCTGCATGGGATTCGAACCTGTGAAACCCACGCAGAGTAATTAGAGGTGCGGTGGCGAGCGTATTCCTAACGCTTAACCCGTTGAGCCACTCCGCCGCGCCAGAAAGGATTTCAAGTTACGAAAAATTGCTATGTATGATACAGATTTTTTTTTACATTTTATAGGAAGGGTGGGGGGGGGGGAGGCTCCGAATCCCCTGGCTACGCCCAGCTTGTGCAGAACAATAATCAACAAGTCTAAAACTAAGTACTTTTCATACCGTACTTACCTACCGTTAGCAAATAATTTCCGAGTTTTGCGTATAGCGTCCGGTAAATCAGAAACAGCCGTCACCCTTGGCGGATTAATGCCCATGTAGACATGAATAAAAATTAATTCAGTGGATTTTCAAATGAAATATCAGATGTCATAAAAAAAATTTAGAAATAGCCTTCTAGCGGCAACAACAATCTTCAATCACTGAGAATCTCAAAGCAATTGGTTCAGTGGTTAATGAAAATGGGTACTCCGAAGTTTGTGAACCAAGATGGCGGACACTGGAACGTAGTGTGTGTACCAGGTTAGGGTTAGGCCATAACTTCATTCCAATTTTCCTTATTTTAGTTCTATTACGACTTCGGGGACAGCCGAGTGACTCCCGTAGTATTTGTACCTGGAATTATGGCCTAACCCTAACCTGGTACAGATACTACGTTCCGGTGTCCGCCATCTTGGTTCCCATACTTCCGGAGTACCATAAAATGAGCAATTTTTCATACGCCAACAACAAGGATAAAACAACAACAATATCATAATAAAACGATCCATATGGCAAGTTTGTGTCCAATAACCTGATACCCAATATCGGGTTGGTTTCTAACTCTGCTTACCTTCATACACCCAATCAGGGATTCCGTTGAAAATGTATTCGGCTCTCCCGTCAGTGGTAACTCGAAGAGCCACTTCATCGATAGCTGCCTTATAGTAGATGTTGAAACCTCTAACGTATGCCTGTGGAAATATTTGAAGGTTTTAAAAACATTCAGAAATGCCTAGGAAGAATACATAGATAGTATAGTATTGGGTTATGGGTCAGGGTAAACAAAATTTCCATTGGGGCTTCATCCCGGAAGCTTCATTTTGGAAAAATGCGCATTTCTTACCAATGCATTTCCTACTGGTCCCCATGTCAGGTATTGAATATCTGATCCGATTGTGAGGGTTGTATTAATCATTCTGTAAACATGAAATATAAAATTATTGAATATTTGCAAATTGATAGACACGGGGTGGCCCAACAGCAGTGCCGATAGATTGGCAATAAAAAACTTGAAGCGAAACTTCAGGAGTTGAACACGGTCTGAGAAATGAGGGCAACAAAAACAAAAAAAAACATCGACCTTACAAAACTGTGCATTGGTTTTTAGTAATGATGAATTTAACATTTTTAGCAATGTAGAAAAATATCGAGTTTTCTTCAATATTAAACATTCAATCATGGTCAGACCAGTAATACAATAAAAATCGCGATTGCGCTTCATTTTCATGTTCGCTGTATGTGTATTACTTTTCTGATAATAGGTAGTCAAATAACAACGTTGGGGTGACTTCAGATAAAAAGACTGTTTTCGAAATAAAATCACGCATGTGTAATAACGTATGTTCAAACAGGTAAAGCTAAGTCGCCAGAGAAGATCAGGCTTCTTCACATCATATACCCGGGTTAATGGCGCACAACGGTTCCTCACTTTAACATCGTTATAAGAAATAAGTTACACAGGCGCAGGCCTGTCTAGGAGACATATTTTTCCGTCCCATCCCGTAACAATTTATGCCTATCCCATCTCATCTCATGGTACGTCTGCTACAGAATGCCCATGAGAGGCCCATTCCCATAGGCAAGCCTGATAAAACGTGACTTGTTTTATATGAAAGTGATACTTGATAATGACATAGATTTCATTTCATTAAGAACCGCGATAGCGCCTCTTTTTGTGTTCGCTTAGTGTATATTACTCAGATTGTAAGAAACCATCGGTGCGTTGCTTATACTACGACAGAAACTGTTGTTGAAATGAGACGGCTGTGGACTAACCGAGGCGACTAATGTATATCGAAGTTGAGGGTAAAACAAACATACAAGTCAATATTCACAACTACTTTGAAAAAAATAAATTTTAAAATGGGCAAAAGCATTGAAATAAAAATTTTATTATGAACAATAGACCAATCTAAAACGGGCAGCTGCGTGAAAATTTACAGGAAACAGTGATATTAAACTAAATACCGTCACTAAATCAATAGGCACCGAATTGCACAATGATGTGTTTATTTTACGTGCGCGCTCATACAAAATTATCTAGAATACATCTGTCTCTTTTTTGGAGATTATTCAATTGGTAAATACTGATGATGTCAGTATTTTTGCAATAAAAAGTGTCGCTCATAAACAAACAGGACAGCCCATCGGATTTTAGTGACTCTTGGAACTTGATTGTTTTCAATCGGAAAAACACACGATTCGTTCGTTAACTTTCAGACTTCTTAAAATGTTTTGTTGTCGTCTGTGACTTTGATCAGGGATCATTCTTATTTATTTTTACGTGAGTGCGCTCGATCTTGCTTTGAGAAAATTTTTGTCATTCTTGAAGAAAAAAAAAAAACATTTCTTAGATTTGTGAATCTAAATTCTATGTACTACTTTAACTAACGGATAGCATTTCAAAAAATTTGTTTTATTCAACCAGTGTTATTTTATTGGGTACTCCCGTAGTATGTGTACCAGGTATAGGTTAGGCCATAATTTTATCCCGACTTCCCTTATTCTAGTTCTATTGAGGGTTAGGGCGCTGTCTTTGTTAGCCAAGTGAACAAAATTAGTTACCTCCATATTGGTACACTTCTGAAGCGCTTTGTATTGTTCCAAGAATTGTAACAACTCTTGTCGCCAATAACCTGTGGAATCCACTTCTCACACGTATTAAATTCAGTGTTCCCTCACATTAAAAAGCTTATGTATTTCGATTCGTTAGGGAGCCCTTTTGTGTTTGTTAACGATTAACGATTAACAATAAGGGCAAGTCGCGACAATACTAAGCGATTTAATGACAAGACGCGCCCAGGTAATTTCAAGCCAGTAAGCATTTTATCATTGTGCAATCATTTAATATTAAATGCTGACGATACATTATAAAAGGGGACAAATATTGACCGTTCGAGCAATATTGCCACACGTCGTTGCCAATACAAAGCAAAAGGAACTAAATTGTCATCTTTATTTATCGATACCATATATTGTGTAGGCCGTCATATATGTATTAAATAAAGTAAAAATACCTAAACAATTTCTGATTTAAAAAACAACAAATCTGTTCAAGATATATTGAGACCTGACTTCACGAAATAATTGAAATTGTAAATGGACCTTATGGACCTGGCGTTACACAAGATCTAACCATATATAAACGAATGGTTTATTTGCTCCAGAGAAATATCCATATTGTCATTTAATCAAGTAACAATACTAACTGTTGGTTTTCGTGAGGGATTCCAGGGCTCAAAGCCGGAAATTTCCAAGGGCTGTTCTGAAATTTCTATTTGCCAAGTTAGATCGAACCAGCTAGCGGGTCCGGCCGAAAGCTTTAATTTTATTTTTACATTTTAATTAGTGTTCCGACCCCCGAAACCACCCCCATGGCTACGTCCCTGAGGAATTCACAACCTTCAAGCAAACCACCGTAAAGGTAAGTGTCACTGATAATACTGGCCATTCAACACAGCCTTACACAAAAACTAATCAAAAACGAAAGATTTATTCATGTTGTCAAGTTCAATTTGAGTTTGATGAAGTTCAAGACGACGTTTGACTCTGTTTATTGTGCAACAATTATACAAAACAATATTATTTGTTTTTGAAATGGGTTCCTTCAGGCATGGGCGTAGCTACGAAAGTTTCTTTTTTTTCCATTTCGAAAGGGGAGGGGGGGGGGGGTTAAAAATAAAAAGTTTGGGAAGCACTTGGCCCTTTTAGCTATTTATAATCTCGTCGTACTTTCATTACTGTACAAGGCCTTGCTCAGAGAGAGCACAAGATAAAAAAATCTTACCTATTGTCGACGTCATAAATCAAGTATGTTCCGTTGTATGAATGTCTCCAACCCTGTAACAAGTAATATTACATGAATGATTGAGCAAACCTAATGGCTACATGAGGGGCGCTGGATACAGAGGGAAAATGCGGTGCGAAATATTTGAAACTCGCTAAATACTGACAGGGTGGTGGCTAGAAAAGCAGAAAATTTGATGGTCGGATGAGATCACGAATAAAATGCGTATAGGTATAGGTTTAATTGAGACAATATCCCACAAATTAACCTTCAAAACGATACATGAGCTTGGACTTTTAGCTTGAGACACTGCTCTGAATGGCACGGACGACATTTTGTGAATCTATGAGTGTGATATTACATTTGTTCTACCTTTGTTAAGTTATTCTTCGTGAAAATAAATATCTGCTTGACAAATTTTCTGTTTTTCTATAGCGCCTCTTATTCGTTTGTTATTACCTTCTCTCTTTATAAGGCTTTAGTCAAGCAAATAATGATTCAAAAGAAGCTATGTGTTTGGGATTCAATTTGATTTGTTACATAGTCCATCTTTTTGTTTGATTTACTACGTATAGATAACATCATATGACTACTTTGGCAATAAGTAACTCGAGAACGAGCTATTTTATATTTTTCGAGTTACAATTTGCAAAACCCCAGGTAGGCTACTTCAAATATAGATTATGAGGTCCCTCTTGTGTACTATATTAGGTGCAGTATAGGGTGTCCATGAAGTTTTGAAAGATGCATTAAATGAAGTAAAAATGCGTGAACAATTACTGATGGACAGACTTTATGGACACTCTGTATTTTTTGATTCGATATTTATTGACAATAAGATATTCACATACAAGACACGATAAAATTTTCTACATCTTTCGTGGGCGAAGAAAGCCGGTGAGATGGCGTTATCATGTAGCGAACCACGTACTATTCACAGTTTACCAGTCTATGTCGGGTATGGGAATAGTTAGCCAAGAGTGATTTGTTTTCAGATCCACTGACTTGAAAATCTTAACTATGAAATGACTAAGGAAATCATAACTTGATTTAAAACTGATTTTTTTTTTATACCAACTCACACAGATTTAAAGAGACTAATACACGAGTTGACAACCTTCACCATTGGGTACTCCTGAAGTATGTGAACCAAGGTACACATACTACGTTCCGGTGTCACCATCTTGGTTCAGATACTTCGGGAGTACCTCGCGTTGAAAAAGCCGTTTGGCACCTTTTAAATTAAACTCAAACCTGTTTAAAGCCGCAACAACTCAGTGGCAATTAAAACTCCCAAAAATCCACTTATGATATTCCAGTTCTTACTGAGAAGGAACTAAATGAAATCAGAGGTGCGATAGTAGACATGTTCCTAAAACTCAGCCAAACGCCGAATCAATACAAATCCATGAACCTACCTTTTTATATTCTGTAAGAAGTGCGATGTACTTCAGATCTGCTGATACTTTGTAGGATCTTGCAGCATTGTCAGTCTGTTTGGGAAAAAAAAGAAAAAAACTTTTTTTGAATATAAAGAGTAAGTTGCAATTTTAGTAATGTTTTATACTGTAACGATCTTGCAATCTCATTTTCGAATGAATGAAATTCAATAAAATAATTTATTGTGCTAATAGTACTTCACATAAATAATGTGAATAGATTCGAATTAGACCAAGACTTGACAGTGTGTTGTGTTTAAACCAGGGGTGTGCAACCTTTTGTCGGTGAAACATATAACCAACAGCATACATCTAGCTGAGCCACATAAATAAAATTAGTTTTTTCAATGTACACAAAGAATTGAAAAATTCTCGCAATGCAAAACTTTATTTATGCAACATTTTAGTGAATAATTTTGAGCTTTTGCATAGTTTGTTAACATCAGCTTTGACAGAAGTTGTAGTAGCCCTTAACTGACTGGTCAAATGTTTGTCAGTCAGGTGACAAAGGAAAAGAATGCGGCTATCGCTTGGCCTTATAGTAATAAAGACATCAGGCAAAACGTTGAAAGATTTGATGTAGCGAAAAAAACAAATACCTAGATTTTTACTCATGTGAGGGCCTTTTCAAACATGAACTGTCGGATTAGGATTTTATGCTTGATGGGGAAAATTCGAGTTTTGACAAGGGCCACACTAAATGGCTTGTCGGCCTAGGTTGCGGCTCGAGGGCCGACTATTTAGAAAATCCTTCAAATGACGCTTTTTTGCACATTTCGCTCCGAACAAGGTCGTATACAATCAGCCATTGTTAAAAGTTGCCGTTTTGGGAGAACCGGGATATTTACGTTTCAGCATTGCTTACCCAATTTATTACACCCCGAGGAAGGATTTTCGAAATAATTCTCCATAAGCTAGAACAGTCGAGTGGAGCTGAAATTCCAACTGTTTTCGTTATTTTTTCCCTTCGCTTATTTTGGAATTTGTTATTGCTCCATCACTATTCATGCGAACTAATTTATTTATTCAATCTCTAATGGGTTCTTACCTAGTGTTATGCACAAGTCGCAATTGTGTTTATTATTACAGTCGTTTATTATGTGTTCATGACTAAGTATTATAGTAATAAAATTGAAAATAGCAAAAAAAAAAACAGTGATTGATTATGCTGAGCTTTGTTAGAAGCGTACGCCATATAAAGAAAAATAAAATTCACGTGAAAAGTTCACCTATCCAAGAATGTTGCTTTATCTATCTATTTACCTGGGGGAGATTGGATTGATAAAATTGAAAAAAAAAAATTAAAATCCCAAACCAAAAGGATACTCACCCAAAAGGATGATTCCATCAGCACTGTCTCTACTTGTGTTTCAACATCTCGGCGAATGATATACATAGAACCATTCTGGTAGACATATTCGTTATCTGTTGAAGTAGAAACTATTTTAGTAAAATTATCGCAAAGCTAGGTCACATGCACTCATTCAGAAATAAAGAACATTGATCTCTGGGGGGAGATGACTCTGATGACCGTATGGTCGTATCGCTTCCCCTAGTCTAGAATAATTTTGTTTGTTTTTTAGTTATATTTTTCATTGTTGTAATGCTTGTATTCTGGTTGATGAAACAAAAAATTTCTCGCTATCTGTCCTTTATTCTATGCTTTTTTTCGTGAGATACCAAGCATAATTCAAATTGCCTCGTAGTCTGTGTCATTCAAAAATTTTGATATTCAGGGTGTTCATGAAGTCTCGTTAAATCTTCAATTTTGTTGTGAAGTCAATTTTAAATAGATAACCATGTTTATTTTATTCTAATCATTATGTATTAAAGTTTTTTGCCCTCGTCTATTAATACACTTCAATATGACTACTATAAGTTGAACAAAGCACATCAAAGTTCTTTTGTCTCATTTGATACACAACCTTATGAACATCTTAAATGCATTGAATATATAGGGTGTCCATAAATACCTGAAATTTTTTGAAATTACAAAGGGAATTTATCTATACCTTCCATTGTTTTGGCCCTCACAGTTGTATTGAATGAAGTACAAATACTTAAACAACTACTGATAAAAAAAATGGTTTCATAACAAAATCGAAATTGTAAATGGACTTTATGGACATCCTGTATACAGCAGCAATACTTACTTGACACCCATCTCGGGGAAACGTATTTATAACTGAATTTTGAATTGTAAATATCATCAAACGTGAACTTCGGTTCATCAGCTCGACCGGCAGCTCCTTTGTACACAATATCAACGTCTCGTTTTGAGCGATTGTGAGAATCTGAAATGAAAAATTTGGTAATTACCTTGATCGTGAAGCTAATTAAAAATAGAAATATATGTTAAATTTGATCTTTCCCGCGTTATTTTGGACGTAATTTCAACGCGTTTTTGAATAAAATATACTTTCTCCCTACTATTTGTTATTTGTAGTTATTGTTAGCTAGTTAATTTTGAGGTTGGTCGGGAGACTTGACAAATTTTAAAAAGGGGGCACGGCTTAAACAGTTTGAGGAGCACTGCTTAAGGTATACACCTCTACCGATAAAAGATATAATAAGGTAAATGTAAGTTTTTATTATTATTGTTTATATTTTTATTTCTAATTACTTTCACGCTCCCTCAAAAATATTCCACGCTCCCCTTGATCGGTGCGCCCCACCGTTTGATAATCACTGATATACATGGAGGGTGTGAATTGACTGTAAAGCCAAATATCTTATCTGCTCTTTCTTAAACACATACTCATTTCTAAATACCACAAACATCCCACGACTGGTATTGTTGGATAAAAAACAAGATTGCCAGAATGATTTTACAATTTATCACTTACTTCTGATATGGTTTAGTCCCAACAATGCAAAGCACACCGACACTCCTGCCAATATCAAAGATTTCCGAAAGGTTAAAATAGTCATGCTGGAAGTCTATTTGTACAACTAACTCTGTTTCAAATTTAAAAAAAAAATAGATTATTTTCTATATAAGCAAAAATAATTTGAAATATATGGCTGTTGTTAACGTGAAAGATAAGGTTTAACTATTTGTAACTTACAAAAATGTGAAAACGCCACTTTCTGGATAATCAAATACAATCATATTAATGTTGGGAAATAAATTGGGCATCTCAAAAATTTTTATTTCTAGAAAGGAGGGGGATATTAACCTCCTATACGAAATGCAGGGAATCACTGGTTATGAAACAAATAATTGTATTACGAACATGCGACTGACTATACGCTATTACTTGAATACCATTTGTGCTCAAACGAATGATGACTTTCCTCAACAAAATTTCATTAAAAAGATAATAATGAATATTTTATCCAGCTATCAACATAACAGATCCTCAAACTTTCCTCGATTTCTTGAGAATTACTTTTACATTTAACATATTGAACGCCTGGTCTCTATGTGACGTTACATTTGGGACCACAGTCGATCACACATTGCAGCAATACCTGAAACGGTAAAAACAAGGGATTGCATTCGACCGTAAACGCGTATCATATTACCGTGTTGCATAAACAAGTGTTCCCTAATACCCAAAACATGATCCATTAACGTCAAGTTGTGTCATGTAAGGTAAAATATTGTTAAAATTAAATGAAATTTAATGTAAATAATATAGGTAATTTGATAAGAAATAATTATTTCATAAAAGGAATATTTTCGCTTTCAGCTCTGAACAAGGACCTATATGACCAACTATTGATATCTAACGGTTTTTAAAAATTCAATTATTCAAGAAATAAATGGAAGCAAACTGCCGGATTACAAAATATTTTGTTTTTTTTATATTTTTTATTTTATCCTATATTTCAAAATTTACTTTATTTACGTTTGATTATCAAGACATCCTTAGAACAAGGCTTTAATCTAGCGATTCCCTACCGGAGGTCCATGGACACATAGTTTTATTGCTTGATAAGGTCATTTAACAGAGTGTTTTCACTTTTCTGATCATAAATTATTTGAACTTGAGGAGATTTGAATTCTACCAATCAAAATAACAATATAAATACCACTGAAATGATAAACAGGGGGTCATGAACCCCAAAATCCTTCGGGAGGGCGCCACGAGTCATAAAAGGTTCTGTCACTGCCTCAATCAATTGCGAGTGTATATTTAAACGATCTGCACGAAGAATTATTGGACCGATAACTTTTGGACCGAATTTACTCGAAGCATGTCATGTTGTCTGCATTTTCAACGACGGATATATCGACAGTTTAAAAGACTAATACTGCTAAGTTATACACTTGATAAGCATTTGAACCTGAACCTGATAATCCTAACTTGGTAAACATGCTATGTTCAGGTTGTGCGCCATCTTGGTTCACATACTTTCAGGAGCACCAAAATATGACGTATACTAACTACCCGAGTGTGTAGAGCAGTGGTTTGCGCCCTTTTTATTGGAGACGAACCCCATTTGACGCGAAACACCTAAAGGTCTTTCAAGTAACACTAGTAAAACGTAGGTAATATATCATATCAGTGTATTTGATAATTCTTCAACAATATACATATAAAAATACAGACTCTGAAATTTGAAAGTAAACTTTGTAGATTCGATAATTTATTTAATTTTCTTAAAGCAGCCAAAAGCAGTACGAATTTTTAATCTGTATCAGTTAGCTAGCCATGTGTATAATCAATCTAGAATATTTTTCAATGACTTTTAATGACAAATGGTTTGTAATCCGCATTTATAAAATAAATAATATTTCGTTGGTACATTTAATCTAACTCAGCTCAAAATCGTCTCGCTTTGAACAAAGCCCCGAACTAGATTAAGATACTGAAAACGGAAGGAATCTGTTAGGCTTGGAATTTCTTTCCGTAAAAATTCTCTGGGTACAAAACCGATCCTGCTTTTTCCTGCATTGACTAGACACGTCTCAAACTCAAGGACTCGTAATTGTAATTTGAAGACATTAATCACCATCACCATAACATAATTCCTGACTCAATTCTTCGACAAAATTTTACCATTCTTTTGTCATTTGCTACTCACTTACCAACGGAGTCCGTGGCGAGAACAGGATTGTGGATAATCATTAACAGATTGCAAGATAGGTCGCCACAGATAACAATAAAATTTTAGTAAAAGGGCATAGCAAATATTTACACAATGCCTAACGTACTTATCTCAGAACATACTAGATACGTATTCAAATTGGTACTCCCCTAGTGTGTGTACCAGGTTAGGGTTAAGCCATAATTTTATTCCGATTTTCCTTATTTTAGTTCTATTACGCTTTCGGGGACTGTTTGTGTTAGCCAAGTGTATATACCTCCTGCCCTTAGGTTTCAGTCCCTTTACACAACTTGATGTAAAGTAGGGGAACAAAATTAGTCACCTCCATATTGGTACACATACTTCTGGAGCGACCCGTATTTAAACGATTATCCCTGAGCACGGCCGTAGATAATATTAAAAATCGATAACTGGTAATCAACCTCGTGATGTGTGGAAAATGTACTCATCTTTAAACGTAACTCAATAGTGTGGTATTTTATCGCTCACGCATGCCAATGTTGGGTGTTATTGATGTGTCTGTACCAATATGGAGGTAACTAATTTTGTTTGCCTACTTTAAATCAAGTTGTGTGAAGAGACTGAAACCTATGGGCAGGGGGTATATTCACTTGGCTAACACAGACAGTCCGCGAACTCATGATAAAACTAAAATATGGAAAATCGGAATAAATTCATGGCCTAACCTGGTACACACACTACGGGAGTACACAATTTAGGGTGTTATTGATGTCTCATTTGTTCATAATTTTTTTTTTTGATTGTTATTTTGTTCAAAGAATTTTAGGGACATGTAACCCTGTATTATAGTACTCCGATAATCAAAATGTTAAATAAAATGTTTAATTAGACACTCGAACATTGGGTGTCGCTACCTTATAACCCGCTTTGGTTCCCCGCGACTTCTCTCCAGTCTATACCCAGAATCATTGTTCCTGCACATACTCGAAGTGAAGTAAAAGAATGAATGCATCACAGTGAAAAAATTGAACATTTAACAGTCAATTTACTTTTATAAAAACATTTTCATTTTTCATTGTACTTTTACTCACTCTATAAATGGGGATGTTTGTACGCAGAATCTGTAATTGAATTTAAAAATATTGTGAAAGTCAAATCTTAATTTATTGAAAGGATTTGTGTATTTTTATGCAACAAACAAGGCAGTTCTGGGAAAGGTACTACTATAGCAATGAAACAGATCAGTTCAGAATTGTCCACTCAATTCAATACGCCATGGTGGACGGGCATTAAATCTGAGGTTTTAACTTGCGATGACATCATAGTTAACGCTTTGGGGTGAAGAAAGAAAACGGATAAAAAAATGAAAGTTGAATGAGTCAACATAGTATTACTCGAAATGAAAAATTTATTTATCAATTTACTGATTTTATGCTGATAATTAAAAGACCATTCAAAACAGAAACGAGAATATCGGTCAGACACCGAGGGCTTATCAATCGAAAGTTAGGGGTTCCACCAGAACATCGCTCTTACTCCATAGTGTCACCTTGTGTCCCATAACTAATTAATTATTAACTCGCTAATTATACGACATAATTCATCCAAAATCAATAGGCTTCTGGTACGACATATGATGAATGCACGTGCGAAATCTGGAGCAGATTCAATCTCGCTTTTGTGGGATATCGCGTGCATCTAACAGACAGACAGACAAACAGACAGACAGACAAACAGACAGACAAATACCTATCAACATACTTACCGATTAAAATCGATAAGTAATGACAAAAGAGAAGTCTATCAATTAGAACGGCAATGCAAATGTGTTGCCATTATGTGGTACAGTCAATGACTGACTGAGCTCCCAATGAGAAATGCCGACGGTTCAGCCCCGATTGCGTACCTAAAGATCTGATACAAAAAATAAGACCATCGCGCCCACGATTGTATGCTGTTTACTGCTCTTTTATTTTACACGCCATCTTATTTTTTCACGAAACAACCTAATATTTACCGAGTTTATATTAATGTTAACGTGTTAGTAATATTGTGCAAACACATATAAATAATAAACTTGTGAGACAATGGAAGAATAAATAAAACGAAATAAAAAAAAATATAATTGCAGTAATAGATAGTTACTATAGCTCAGTGCTTCTCAAAGTTGATTGACCGGAGCCAAAATTAGTAGCGGAAGGATATTTATATATACAGCTTTGCTAGGAAGTATTTGGATGAGAGGATAAATATTGAAATCCGTTCTTATGTTTTTGATTATTCGAGAATCATTGTTGACAATTCAATCTCTATCATTTCGATTAATAATTCGTCTTTTCTCCCAGAATTTTTCTGCTGAGAGTTTAACACTTTCAATATCGTTTTTTATCGGTAAAATCTCGGTTTCATTACCGACAACTTTCATTAGAATATCTAAAACATGATCACGACAATTGCAGTCAACAAGATGATAAAATTCTTGATCATAATTCAAAAGCAAATCCAACATATTATCTATTTTCGTTTGTGAATTTTGATCCACGTTGATAGACCCGACAATCGGTTTGTATGTGACCTTTTCCAATTTCTTTGCGGAAGTTTCATGAACTTTATTTCCGTCTTCCTTTGTTTCAGTGCCATCGTTTTCAATTCCAATGGTCACTTCGCCTTTTACATGCCCTCTCATTTCCCATAATTTTGTCTCGCTCACTGGTCCCCAGTTCGCAGAATATCTCGGTTTTCCATCTAAATGAATAACTATTGCTGTGTGATAGAATCCTGAATTATACACACTCCAAGACCAACCGACAGTTTCAGATTCAAATACATGTTTTCGAACTTGTTCTGCTGTTGTATAAACAAACCCGGTTTTAAAGAAATTATCAACGTTGGCAAAATTGCCGTCAAGTTCATCTACATCAGCGACATCCTCGTTGTAATTCGAACCATCGTTTTCACTTTTATTTTCGTTTTTCGGAAGTGATTTGTCTTCCATCTCAATGACGTCACAATCCAATTTTGTTGAATTTGTCTCATATGGGAAATAACAAGTTATACTAAGTCGATTTATTGGCTGTTAAAAGTAAAAAATGCAGTTGGCGAACCTATTTTAGTTTGAAAAGCTATTAAAGATATAAGTATATCCCCTGCCCATAGGATTTACTCCTTTTACACAACTTGATGTATAGTAGGCGAACAAAATTAGTTACATCCATATTGGTATACACATTTCTGGAGTGCCTTTTTTACGACAATAGTGCTGTTCGCAAACATATCTGTTCTATATCTGTATCCGACACTGGCTTTTGTGCTAGCGTATTGCAATACCTTTACCTATCCAGCTACTAGACTGGAAGTACTCATATTAACAGAAAGGCTTTTAGTTATACTGTGAAAAAATATCAAATTATTACAAATTTTGATTGCATCGAGTGAATCATAAAATTTGGCCACGCTAATTGCTCAGAAATTTTGCAGTCTACGAAAAACAAGTATTTTTTAGTTGGAGTGAGAACGCTGAATTACATAGCAATTCATACTCATTGTTATCCGAATTTTCGAGTTCAATTTACTGATTTATTGTTACAGTGTAGTAAGTCCACGCTCCATTGGTTAGGTTGAGGAAATTGCAACAATTGAGTCTATTTTCATTGTAAGTCATATCGGTGACGTCATACTTGTGAAATATATAGAAATGATGTAAATAGATCGGTCATTGTTTGGTAATAAAATAAATCGATGAAGGAAAACTGTAGATATTCAACGATGATAAATTTTTGAGTTTTTTTGGTATGCTAAACCCTTAACTCATTCAAATTTGATGTCACATCGAGGCCTAAAAATCCTCGTTTGCTTCATAAATGAAGAAAATTCGACAGTAAAGCGGGTATTCATAAAGTCTTAATTTTATCAAATTACAAGCAATTTATCGATATAATATATAAAATTTTGGTATGATAATATCTCAGCTCATACTCATCGCTTTTAACCATGATAAGCCAGTGCTATCACGAAGGGATAATTCTGCTCGTTCAAAGATTGGCCCTAAGTCCCGGGTTTCACTTAAATATTGGTCGGTATCTCGAAGCTAGTATGACAGATTAGCCAGCACATCGATCGCATCTTGCCATAATAAGCTAATGCTCATACTAATAAATAATTATGCTATTGTAATATTCACTCTTGTACAAAACAGCAATTTTAATGTTCAGGCTACCTCAATTTCAACCTCACTAGCCCACATAGACTGCATGAATTACTATTATATTGACGCTGTCAGGCTGTATTGAGTTTAATGCGGAAACAAAGCCACCGTATCAAGTGACAGCAGACAGGTTTCAATCTTTGAATACTCAACAAAGATTTTCAATGGCCCGGTCCAACAATTGAATAAACTATTGATGTCTCGCACGTGCCTAAGATATAAAGGGTGTCCATAAAGTCTTAAAAAAATTCAAAATCAGAGAGGTAATTTGTCGATATCAATTTTGTTTTGGCTCTGACATATGTATTAAATGAAGTGAAAATACCTAACCTATTACCGATTAAAAAGCAATGAACCTAGTTAAGATATATTGAGAACTTACTTCATAACAAAATTGTAAAAGGTTCTTATGGACACCCTGTGTAAAACAAGGATCATTGTGAGAGCTGGATTCGAGCTTGGGAACAATACGAAATTATTGTTTTTAATTAGTTAGTTTTATTTTAGCTTTAAACTTAAAAGCAACCGTAGATTAACAAAACGTACGAGAGTTGGCTCTGTTTGCAAGGTTGTGCTGGTTGTATTTGCTTAATTTAAGGTCATGAGGTCACAAATATAACTTATTTGTAAAATTATATACAGCCACGGAAAAACGATAATAAATAACTGAATCGACTCTGTGATTGACTCGACACTCGGCTGGGCTTTTTCGAATACGCTCTCACACATATTTAAAGGTTGTCCACATAATATATTAAAACCTCAACGTAAGCTTGATGAGGCTTCCATGAACATGATTGCGAAATTTTATAAAACCTTGGCAAAAGTTGCACCTTAATTAACGTAAAGCCGAAGACGAAGTTCGAAACTCAGTCAAGAACGGCAACGTACTGCTTGGCTGCAATCAGACTGCGGAGAGTTGTAACAATCGATTCTTTCACAATTCACTTGAATGTCTTTTCCCTTTTTGCTTCCATTTTGCTGTTTGCCGATATTACACAATACCAAACAGCTACTGAGTCATTTTTAAAGAAACTTTTTATAAAAATCTTTAACAGTTTTATCTAGCATACATATTCGTGTCATTTTATATGTATTCCGACGCAGAGGTGTATGAGTGTATCTCTCTAATTCATTAGAATTCACAATATAAAACAACGTTAATTTGCTCCCATTGTGTTGCTTACCAAATTTACGACGAGGTACCGGACCAGATATATACAAAGAAACATTATATGAAAATCTCCAATAAAACATAGCCATTTCTTTGCATATATAATTTTCTGGGTACTCCCGTAGTATGTTTACCAGGTTAGAGTTAGGCTATAATTTTATTCCGATTTCTCCTATTTTAGTTCTATTACGAGTTCCAGGATTATCTGTGTTAGCTAAGTGAATGCCCCCCTGCCCATAGGCTTCAGTCCTTTTATACGAAGTGATGTAAAGTAGGCGAACAAAATTAGTTACCTCCATATTGGTACACACACTTCTGAAGCGCCATTTCCTGTATATATTATCGTTCTATTATGTATAATGTATATATACATATATGAATTTTAAACAGTTTTTAAACTATACCGACTTTTATTTATCATGCTCAAAAAACATCATGTCTAATAGAAAAGTTGCAGAGAAAATAAGAGCTCGAGAATTGAGATCTAGATTTTGCTGGTACACGATCTTGAAGTGATTAGCTTTGGAAAACATTTCTTGAGCGCATCCAGCATGGACTCGTGATATACAAGCAACAGGCTCAGCGGAACTACCAGAGGCAAAAACGTTGAATGGTACATCACCGAAACAGCAAGGACCATGGCAAACACACATTGGTCCTTCAATATGATACAATTCTTGTCCACTAGAGTTCTCGATGGATAGTTTAGGCTGAAGGCAGTATTGACTTTGTCGCACCAATCCAAGTGGAACGCCATTAGCGGTGATATCAAGGATGTGGCCGCAACTCTTGAACCAACAACAACCAGTACAGCACCTGAGAAATATAAATATATTAATGCGTTTATTATGTATAATTTGTGAGGTCCCCTTAATATGATGCTTATTCAAGCCTTTCGTTACAACAAGGGCCTGAAGGGCCGAGTTATTGACTCAAATGGTGTCACCATTTGTTGAAGACTCGCAGTGACACGAGTCATCTGAAAGTTCAAAATTAAATGCAATTTTGAGGTATTTGCAGTTGGATAAAAATTCCCTTTTACCAATTAACACAATTTTGCTCTATACTTGAACGATTTACTAAAACATGCTGAAGGGTCATGCCTTCCTCGCCTCCTCTTCCCAAACAAATTTTTTATCATTTTTTTTTTCAAATGCAATTATGCGGCACTCGCAGTGAGACATAAATTCCTACGCCCTTTTTCAACACCATTTTGCTTTATTCTTGAACGATTCCTGGTTTTCTATCAATAATCCTTTTACCAAATGAACCAAACGAGTTAAATGAAACTGCGCGCTTATATATCTCGGATAACTTCGACTCCAAAGTTAGTCTGTATATATATTCTTTAAAATATTGTTAAATATCAGTGGCCATCTCTGTCTAATCTTAGCTCAGCATCATTCAAGATTGAAAAAAAAAAACACAGAAACCGAGTTATTATACATAGTGAAGAGAGAATAAAAATATCCAAAACAAGTAAAGGAAGGAAAAAAACAGAAACCAATAATTTACCTGAAAATACGCTCCATTCTGAGAACTTCTTGGTTTGTATTGTCCATCATATGCATAATGAATCCTCGATTTTCTTTACAAAACACACGATTGCAGCATTCCGACTCTTCGTAAACAAAGTAACTAAGTCTATTTCCGCCATCCAACACTTGGTACCTGTTCGCCATGTCGATACCCGTCATTACTTCAGCAATCTCTACCTGTTGGTTAATTCGAACTTCATTCATCTGCGCCAGATATTGAAGCCCTGAAGTCCCAATGGCAGCCGGCGGTAGCACACCAGGTGGTGGTCCGGCCATGTTCGACATCGGCATTGCCATAACGAGATTATGAGCTACTTAATCCGCAGACAAGATTTTGAAAATAATTCAATTTCTGGAAACAATAATCTGGAAATTCTTCGTTTCTGACGTCACAAATAGTCGTGAAATTGAAGTCAGGTAACAATATTAGAACTACTTTAAATTCATAACTTTATTGGCGAGTTCTGTTCCGAGCAATGAAATTTCCCGTAGTATCGACTACTTTGTTTACTCCTTCTTTATTTTATATACTCACATATATGAAGAATACATTCACATATTACGAGAGATATAACTTGGGAGAGAGTAAAGCGTCAAGAGAAAATGATAATGGATGCCAAACAACACAAGTGGAAGACGCATTAAGAAAACACTATTTAAAAGTAGATCCAGAGTTGAAACTGGGTAGGATAGGATTCACGTATTTATTTCGGGGGAAAATAAAGCCGATAAGACGGCTCAATGATAAGCCGAACCACGGCTTCTTGTCCGGCTACCAATCAGGTATGCCATGGGATTAGTTAGCCAGTTATTATTTTGTTTTCAGATGCATGGACTTGGTGATGGAAGAAGCCACCCTGCCATGCATCTGAAAACAGAACTTTCATCTGAAAATAAAAAAAAATAATACCTTGCTAACTAATCCTTTCCTCTGGTACATAATTAATCCCGCGTGGGATTCGAACCTGCGAAATCACTCAGGGTAATCAGAGGTGCTGTGGCGATTGTATTCCAAACGCTTAGCACGATACAGTTACTCTCATGAAGATGATCTATAAAGTTTTTTTCGTTCATTTCTGTTCCTCTAATTACACACAGAAACACGCCGAGCTGGAAGATATTATTTATTTATTTTTGTACTTGCAAATTGGCACTATGAAAATGCAGAAAACTCAAACGTTTTCAGGTAAGCAATATTTTAAAAAATGTACTTATTAAGCGAAAGAGGCGCAAACCCAAAATGACGATGTTAAAAAATATGCGTTTTGAGAAAATCTAAACTTTTTTCATTGGAATGATTGGATGATTATGCCTTCAAATTTTTATTAGAGAGCCAGCTCAAAATCAGCTTTATCTTTGTATTTTCCAATTACAATTTCCTATGATTCGAACATTCGCCTTTTTGTTTTAAAACCCCAGAATAAAGATGCGATATATAGGTTTATCAGTGCAAATTTGTCTATTGCGGACACTCCCCATTTTTATCATTAGCCACCTTATTGTCGCGTCGTGCTAACATCAAAGAATTGCATAATGCTTCTTTGGTCACTTAGTAAAAAAGAAAAATGAATCGAATAATAATATATACAAAATTGAACGAAAAAAAAATGGAATGTAAATCAATGTACTGTAGATATCATTGTGTTGGTATTCTGATGATAATTTACGTCCTTATCTTCGATGATGTCATTGGGTACTTCCATGACGTCATTCATTGCAACTACTTGTCTTTGGAACTTTGCTCGCACGATTGCATGATACGAAGGAGGGTAAATGCTGTACGCATTGTACGTTGGACGTCAGAAAGTGAATGAATGAGTCCGTATTGCTCGTTTGCTTTTGCGTCCCTTTACGTCAGAAACTTCGTAATGGTTGTTAATATTATGCATTCTTCTGCTTTTTCTCATTATAAAATATATGATTCCTCCGCCGCACGCAACGAGTATGAGAAAGACGATCACTGAGGGAACGACTGCAGTTACAATTAGAAGAGTGTTGTCATCTGTGATAAAATAAATGAAGAATTGATGGAAATATAGAAAAGTATTGCCACTACATTCCATGCAAAATACTATTGCAATAATATTTTACTTCATATTAACTGCGCAATCATTGCTTATAATAGTAATCGAGTGACACATTCATCGTTGTATATTGGTAAATAAATTATAGAAAAGGTATCGATACTACAGTCCAGGCAAAATACCATAGCAATAATATTTTCCCTCATACTAACTGCGCAATTATTGCTTTGAATAGTAATCGAGTATTAGAGTGGTAAATTCACCTCACTCACACAGGAGGGCAAAAACAGCAATAATTACAATCAATTCAGATGAGATTCAACCTAATTAAAGAAAGAAATTTATCATTTTTCTTGACTTGACAAACAATAAAATAAATACCTTCTAATTCATCGTTTTCCTCGCTCGTCTCTTGTACAATAAAAGGTCCCGCTCTTAACTCGTAAATTATGTTTCCTGAAATGGTTAGGATTAATTTTATTTCAAAATATCTGAAAAAATTATTTTTCTAACCATTGGTACTCAAACTTTTCGAGCCACGCCCCCCTTTTCAGAATTTCCTCCTTTTCAGGCTTGCTTTAAATAATAAGTTTAGCAAAAATATGCACTTTAGAAAGCTTACCACCACGAGTGTCTCTTGTTTTTCTTGATCTAACGCTGTTTGTTTCCCTGAGAATTAAAAAAAAATATATCAAGTTAAATCAATACTTGGACGGCATTTTGGTTATTTCAGAAGTAAACAAATTTCGCTTTATATGAATATTTGAATGTTTTTAACATAAGTTTACACATTAGTTAACCATGTTCGGAGAAAAGGGCACGAGTAAGCGTCTTATTTCGTTTACAAAAATCCCTCTCTTCCCTTTACTGGACTGGCTACCCTCTTGAATCATGGATCATACCGATTCATGAATTTTAAGTCAAGTCAAATATCGAATTAAGTCCGAATCGCAGCAAAAGGAGTCCTGAGTCATAACAGATTTGATGAACAACAGTGAATAAGTATTAGTCACAGAGGCACGAGTCTCCACACACCTAAACTTGAAAACTTATGTCGTTTCCATTCTATGGCCATCAATCTGTATATTGTCTGGTAGTAGAATGTCACTTTGAGGACCACATCAGTAATTTCAAGTATTGGACATTACAGCATAAAATATCGGGTATGTCAATCACCTCAACCAAACATCCGTAATTGTGACGATGGAAGCTATCCCTATTACAATATTACCTATATGTCGAGGGTCGGAATCCTTTAGCATTAAAAGAGCCGTTTGACATCTTTTCAATCAAACTCAAACCTACTCGAAGCCGCATCATCTACTCTAATGTCAGTGGTTATAACAACTCCCTGAAAACCACATAAGATGCAATAATCTAGCTCTCACTAAGAAGAAGCCAATTGAAATATGAAGATGCAATAATTCAATCTATGAGGAATTAAAAGAACTTGTAAAATAAAAATAAAAAGCGTGGTTTGACAGACTCAAATGCTTTAAATGTGACCCATTTTCACCGCTTTCAAATTTTGGGAATAGCTGGAACATTTAATTGGTGTGTATTTAGCTTTATGCCTTTATTTTCATTAAATTCTCACTGCTTTGAACAAAAAACTGCTGTAATCACGAAAGCCATAGCTCCGAGAAGGAAAACACGCATGCGTCTCCGGAGCCACAGATTGCCGATCGCTGCTATGTGCTAGTATACTTACTCTATTTTCTCACAAGTTGGGACACAATCTTCGCCTATACATGGATGAAAAGAGCATCCGATATAAGTTGGAGTATTTGCTTTGATATTTTGAGTTGGGAGTTCCATTCTCACATTTGGTTTCTCTCCGTTTTCAAAAATTCTTGCTGGTGACTCGTCACATCTATAGACAAACACCAAAATGTCATTCATGAGTAAAATCAAACTATATTAAGAGAATATACACTGTAAAGATCACATTCAGTAGCGGGTGATATTTTAAACCAGTTGTTCTCATAGTTTTTTGCTCCGTTCCCCCCCAACACCCGTTCCCATCGATCTTCAATATAAAAATACCTAGTTTTGCTTTTAACACGTTGCCATTGGGGTTAGACATTTTGAATCGAATATTCGAATCGTTTGAGACTTAAATTTCGAATCGCCGCCATTTTGTTTTTTATACACATAAATTTAAATATCTTCTAAGTATTTAAGATTCAATTCATTTCAAAAAATTATTCGATTCGATTCTGAAATCATCAGGTATTTGAAAATACATATCCCTAATTACCAAAAAATATCTCCTATGCCGCATGTGATAAAAAGCCAACAAACAAACAAAAGCAAAATAATGAAAAATTGCTTTTCTCTTCAATTATTGGACCGATTGTTTTGAAATTTTTGCATTTGGTATTTCGAAAATGTCTGTGGAATCTATGAGGTTCGTTTTTTGTGTGCAATGACGTCATCAAAATTAATAATTGCGCTTCTTATTTTACTTTAAATCGATGTAGTCTCCAAATAAGGAATTTTGCTTGTTTCCTTCAGAAAATCGCTTCAATTCCCCTAGTAAACCGAGGACCCAGTTCAGAGAATTCTCATTTAAAGTTTACTGTTCTCGAACTGTCACACATAACCACCGAATATTGATCCTAGAGTGTTTGAATATTTATTTCATTCAGGTCAAATTTATTCATAATTGTTTAAAGCCTATGCAGACTGTGTGACACGATGTCCTTATAAATTTAATTTCCATATATTTGAGCATTGCTAATTTACATTTAGTAGTAATAATCTAGAACCCGATGTACAAAGTCTGAGCTTTGCGTCTTTGATTCTGCCGCTCTCTGCTTTATCTGTGTTTCAAATCAAGGGTGTACAACCTGCGGCTCGCGGGACAAATGTGGCCTACAAGGAAAAATTGTCCCACCGGCGGAAAAGTGCTAAATTTCAATGGTGTGTGGCCCACAAACCGAGCTTTAATTTAATCCAAACCTTTTGCGTTGCAAAGCCTATAAATGTGAAAGAGTTCATTTTATTAATTATCTATGAGCCTGACCTTCCCTAACAGCTAGCTTGTATGAAGCGAAAATCGTTTGTCACAAGATCAATAACCAAAATTTTTGTGCCTGCAACTACAAGAAATCCTATGTTAAATAAAGGTGCGGCCCGCGGTTTCACCCAGCTATTTGTATCTGGACCTCCTGTATTGAAGGTTGCAAACCCTTGTTTTAAATCATTGCATGATATACATTTACTCACCCCTGTTGATTTACAAGTGACACTCTTCTGTCTTCAGAATCTATCCAGCATTTTTCCACTAGTACATTGACGTCATCAGAATTTTCGTGAATTCCCTGAAAAAATAAAGTGTTATAGGTAAAGTTTTGAGTAAAAGTTTGAATAATATAATCTGGCTTAGAATTTGTTAGGTTAGAATTTTTTCCCTAAAGTTGGTCAGATCGAATATCACGGTACGTGGATATAACACCATATGACAGTAATTTTGAAACTTTGAAGATTCGTGACCCACATTCAAATACTATCAACGCTGGGTGTTCAAGAATTCGTTGACACGTGAGAAGCATTTGTAGGAAATTGTGCAAATTATGAAAACTTTCTTGACGACTATATTGAAGTTGCATAGTAGACTAATTCGTATTACAACTAGCGATATCATTTTCAAACTCCCACTAGCATTTAGAGGACAGGTTAAAATTATTGGAACCCTGTGGAGGCTATGTTTTAGTTGAAACCGCATAGTAGATTGGTCAGCTGCTTCGAGATCTCCAATAACCAAAACCACAACTTCATCCATGGCGCGATGGCGAGTTAAAACGTTATACTCAACGGTGTTGGCATCTCGGATTCATAACCCATGCCCTCATCCAGAGGTGTGTTTAAAAGGGGTTCATGGGGGAAGCCGCCTTGGGCAGCACCTTATAAGTGTGAGATCGTTTTTCAGTTTGATGATTTAAATAAAAATAATACAAATATTTCAATCTTACTTTACTTTTACTTTATTTATTCTCATGTTAATCTGTTTAACCCCAAATTATTTTTGAAGTTTAGAATAATTATCAGAAACTCGTCCCGGACAGCGCCAAAGCTTGACACACCACTCATACATCTCACCCAGGGTGTAGGGAACCGAGTAGATAATGCAGAACCAGAAAGTTTTTTGGTACTTTCAAATAAAAGTAACTGCTTGTATATTATCCCTCCTTTTATTCATTTTCGATACCCAAATACACCTATAGTAGGCCTTACTTGAATTGCGATGCCAGCCCAGACTGTTTTATCCGATCGGATTGAGCTTCCCTGTCTGAATGGATCCGTAAACTCATCGTCGACCGAAAGCACAAATACTGCTTCTAAATCTTCTTTGTTTGTTTTGGGGTTGGTTATCGTCGTCTTGTCTCTGAAATACAAACAAGAACATTATATTTTTTCAAAGTCGAGCTATTGACTGGGTTTTAGCTGGACTAACTACATATTCTTCTAAGTTACTGCTGGTAAGTATTCATCCTTCTCCTATGTTTTTGTTTTCGTTACAAATATTGAAATGATGTATATATGACGACTGTACAACGACTGGTGATCCAGACGGATAAACCGATAGCTCTACAAAGACTATTTTTAACCACGAAATGGAACCATATCCTGCAATAACTTTTCATATAAAATCAGAGAAAACTATTATTTACTATTTTTAGCAGGATACTCGATACTTCTCAATATACTAACTCTAATTGGTGCCATATTGATACGCAATTGAGATTCTGTTGAGCTTGTCAGATCACGTACCACAGTAGTTTTAGGACGCTGAGATCGCATACGAAAGTGGAACGCTATCATTTATAGTTAATATAAAGCACCAATCGTAATTACGTATTAGTAAGTTAAATAAACTATCATTACATGACTTCTGGTGCTTTTCCAGTAATAATTTGAGTTGAAGATGCTGAGACATTCAGTGGAAACTTGCAGAGAACATCGGCCTTGAATATTCGACCAAAGTAAATTTCACCATTCTTTGGAGTGTTGCTGACTGTGTTGATGTATTGAACATCATTCCCAACAACCTAAAAACGATTTGAAAATAGTTTTATAATGTTCCTTTTGGAACTCATTTCAAAATTGTTAAATATGTTTTCTATAGTATATTCAATACGAGGTAGGCTAAAAAGAAACGGGACTGACATCACAGATTGCGCAACACGATTAACCATCGGTAATCAACACTTTTGCAGTGTGGCGTAATATGTGTTCTTTGTTTAACAACTGTTTTGACACAATATCGCAATTATTTTTGCTTTCCAGGATCCATAAGTGAATGTGATAAATTTCTTGTTGCAAAAAACTAATGTGCGAGGTCTGATGGAGTTTTTTGGCGATAGGGGGTTCAATTAAAGAATGACGACTGAGCAAAGAATTAACATTAAATTTTGTGTCAAACTCGGAAAAACGGCGACTGAGACTTTGCAGATGTTTTGAATAATGCAATATGGTGATTTTTTTAGCTTTTTCAAAAATATTTTCTATGTAATAATTCAATAATAAAAAAATTCTGATGTGTATAAAGTTGTTGTATTGGACCAAATGGTTGTATATTTATGAATATATTTCATTGATATGTGATTTTGTCAGTAAGTTGTGTGTTTATTGTGTGAATGTTAATAGAGATACCTGAAAGCGCTCCAGAAGTATATGTACTAATATGGAGGTAACTAATTTTGTTCGCCTACTTTACATCAAGTTGTATAAAGGGACTGTAACCTATGGGCAGAGGGTATATTTACTTGGCTAACACTAACAGTCTCCAAACTCGTAATAGAATTAAAATATGAAGAATCGGTATGAAATTATGGCCTAACCCTAACCTGGTACACATACTACGGGAGTACCGAATATTCGATTAGGTTAAACAATTCTGAATCACGAAATTGACCTGGATATGTTTTAAAGATTGTGGAAAGATGCGATCGCCATATTAGGATAGGATAGGATCTACATATTTATTCCGGATGAGAGGAAAGTCGATATAACTACTCGATCAAATGGCGAACTGCGGCCTCGCGTCCGGATACCAGTCCATGTCAGTTATTTATTTTCAGATATATGGGGTTGATGGTGGAGGAAGCGGTTTGATTCGTTTTACTGAAAATTACTAAACGCTCCATAATACCGACAACAAATATGCAGTTGCCAGCATTCCAGGAACTGTGAATCAGTGGCGTAGCAAGACTCTCGTGGGCCCCCCCGCAAAAATATTTCGTGGGAATGACCCTAAAAGCTCTCGGACATAAGCTAAACCAACGCTTTTTTTATTTCGTCAAAAAGCTTGACATGTCTCTATAAAAGGGCAATGGTAACCTAAAATTTGCCGTTTATCTTTAATTTTTTTATACGTTTTCCCTCTTCTGCCCTTTTTCTGCGTTTCCGTGCGCCACTGAGAGGTTTTTCTTTCGACATCATTCTGACAGCCTTCGTAATTTTGCCGGTGCAATCAAACCACAAGACGCCAAAAATCGACGACTCCCTGATATTGTTACGCAACAAAACGATTTGAGCAGAACTAACATCAACGTTATAAGATGTGCATTACTGATTTTGCAATGCAGCTTTGGGTTTTGCGGCTTAAATTACTAAATTCTAACCTCTTGGGCCCCTTTGCGCTGGTGGCCCTCCTGCGACCGCGGGGGTTGCGGGGGTGGATGCTACGCCACTGCTGTGAATAATACAGATTGAAATTTACATGCTGAAATTTAGGTCCGAAATGAGATTATTTTTTTATCGTTTGTCCTGGTCTTGACACGATACCTGTAATAAATGATCTTACCTTTCTTTGCGTTCCACAAGTCGATAGGTTTGGCAAATGGAAGACTAGATAATCCCCTCTGATCTCTGGGACACAGTTTCGATCATTTACATGTATTTCATGATCTTCTACGTCATACCATTCTGGTATGTTTCGGTCGACAGATATAAGAATTTGATTTGTTTCACACTCTATGGAGATGGAATAGCCTGTAAAAAACAAGAGACCAATGCTAAAACATATGAACACGAAACCGTAAGGAAGTCACACTCAACGCCGGTAGTATTCTCGAGTTCGTACCAAATCTTTTACAGTACCGGTTCCTTTCGATAAACTCCCGACTTTGCTGACCACTAGTTCGCTGAAATGCGACCGCGGAACCGTCACTAGATGCACAATTAACTTTGATTAGGTCAATTAGGTTGTTAAAAATAGCAATTTCTTAATAAGAATAATAACACATAGAAGAAAAAAACCAACAACACCAGCAACATAATAACAAAACAATCCATAGCTCGTGTCCAATGAAAAAATTGGGCGCTGCAGAAATAAGTGCACCAAGATGGCGCACAACCTGATAACCCTAACCTGGTACACATACTATGTTCAGGTTGTGAGCCATATTGGTGCACATACTTCGGGAGCACCAATAATTGTTTATTGAGTTCCGTAAAATGTAAAGCAGGTTTTACGCGATAAATGAGTTGCAAGCTTTCACTAAAATTTGGAAGCTACATTTCAAATTTGTTGTTGCAACAAAAAGCTCATACATGCTGATGCGATACTAAAATCACTTCAAACAGATTTTTATAAATAGATACTATTGGCATTTTATATCATTTTTTGTAAGCAATGATAGGCGAATATCAAATTCAAAAATTTAATGTCACTTCTGTCAAAAGGAAAAGACGAAAAGCAACTTGCTTCTGTTATAAACCACCACAAGCCACCGTACTTACCGCACAAGTCTCCTGGCAAATCCAAAGTTGCTGGTTTTTGGAGCGTAATGGCTTCGACATTCCAACGGAAGACCACATTTCGTGAAGCCCATGAAAGAGGAGAAAGCTTTCTTTGTGCTTTACGCCTAAGGGGCCGGAACAGATTAGCGTAGCTTGTATCTTTCTTAACTTCTTTATTGAATTTATATCGGAATGTTGAGCTGCAGTTTGATAACGTTCTAACATGAGTTTTTGATACTACTTTACTCCAAACGTAAAAATCTGTGAATTTTCCTATCATTCGTTTTGTTTCTGTTGAAAATGTATTGCGTTTGCGTCTGCCAGCTCGAAACGAAGTACTGACTCGATAATTCATCCTCGAGATGTCGCTACCGTTCACGATGGAGTCCTCATCCTCCCATTTGAATACTCCTCCTCCGAGGTAATATCGACCGCCAGGGGCTATGACTTTTCCTTTCTGAAAATATTAATAAGGATGGCTCGGTAACATGCGGAACTTTTTTTTCTGATATCTCTATTATCCATTTAATTGGCATTTCTCCCCTTAAAACGTGCATGGGAACAATATGCTGTTGAAGTTGGACAAAAATTAGACGCTAAGACCGATTGGTTTCTTTTTTAACCTTATTGTTAAGAGTTCGGGTTCTAGCGAGAATTTTAAACAAACTCAAGGTTTTCAATCGTAGGTACTATGGTAAGTGTGTTTCTAAAAATAAACTGAGAAAACAAACAAATGTCCTTACCTTCATTCCCAAACCCTGCGCTATCTTCCTTCCATCATTATAAACTTTCCATATTCCGTTCCTAGACGACCACGTCATACAAACATGATGCCACCTGACGTCATCAAGTCCTAATTGTATTGGAATATTTGACCTTTTACCCTTGATGACGACATATAGGATATGCGGGTCATTTTCATCTTTATCTACCCCCTTTGTGTTGATGGAAACAATACCAAACTCTATTCTCTCTGACGATGTAACGTAGGCAAAAACAGTCCCAGTCGCCCTTTGCTCCAACGATTTTACCCAGGTACAAATGCTTATTTGTCGCAACGGATTTTTGTTTATATCTCCTGCTATCCAGGCCATTGGTGTGCTTAAGACAGGAGTTATTGAAGATTTTTTGATTTGAGCATTATCTGTAGAATCTGATCCGATAGATGGAAGAAATACAACATCTTTTTTGAGTTCAGCTAAATATGAAAAAATAATATTTTATTATTGTCAAAATTAGAAATACAGTTTATGTCAACAAGGCCATTCATTTACTCAATTCCAAAACGTTTTTAATCGAATTTTTGTAAACCGGAAAATGTTTTATATCAACGGTGTGCAACATTTTTTGACGGTTGGCCATATATTCAATCTTAGACATCTATCGAGCTACAAAACAAAATGAAAAGAATGCGGCTATCGCTCAGACTTACAGTAATAAAGGCATTGGGCAAAACGACGAAAGACGAAAACGCAACGAAAACAACAAAAACATGTATTTTTACCCACATGAACGACTTTTTAAACATAAACTGTCAGATTAGGATTTTATGCTTGATGGCGATGATTCTGAGTGTTGACAAGGGCCGTACTAAATGGTTTGGCGGGCCGGGTTGTGGCCCGCGGGTTGCCTGTTGTACACCCCTGTCTTATTTCCTGGACTCTTTGCTTGTATTCGGCTCCATTAGGTTTTGTAAGAACATCATTGAAAATGGGATATTTTTAAATTTTGTAAAACAATCTTCAGACAAGAAAACGAGAATTTTTCGTACAAAGTGCGCGTCCAAAAAAATTCTCACCACCGCTCAAAATGAAAAAATTAGGTATTAACCAATTAGGGTTAGATTGAGGGCTAGGAATGCAGATTGCACTAGTGGAAATTCATATTTTCAAATCATTCCTAACCGCGAACCTTACCCTAACTAGATAATTACTAATTTGTTACATGAAAACGTGTCGGGGGTGTTTTTCTCAAGTCTCGCATTTTATTATTAGTGGCGGGCCTTGTAGAAAAGATCCGGAGGTTTAACAAATAAATTCCTTTCGTTGTGCTAATTAGTCATTGAACTATGAAATTGTAGATTTTATTAAATTGTGTGGCAGTTTATGAGTTAAGAGATTACAATTATAAATCTCATTTCCCTAGCAAACAAATTCAAAAAATGTAAATAATTGCTTAATTAGAGCATTTATCAGTTTTGATAGCTTGAGAACATCATGAATTCAATAATTACATATACAGACAGAATGGAGTGGAATCGTTTAAATTTTGTTAACAAATTTAGCAATATTGAAAAGAAAAAACTATGAGAAAATACTTATTCACCCGCACTGCTGCGAATAAAGCCATGTACTCCACCGGGAGTAACCATTTCTGTCCGAAATCTACTCGTTTCGTACCCATCTATTGCTCCTGGGGTGAGATTGGTGGGCATAGGATTTGAAGCAGATGTATATGTATGTGTGTCTATGTATATATATATATATATATATATATGTGTGTGTGTGTGTGTGTGTTTCATCTATTTCTATTATGCATCTATTTCACCTTGGTTTAGATTGGTGGGCATCGGGATTTGAACCCGATGTTTATGCATGTGCTCGTGTGTGTGTCTTGGGGCGTATGTGAACAAAGCCATATATACGATCAGGAGTTACTATTGTTGAAAGGAGCGGAATTCGTACGTTTCGTACCCATCTATTACACTTTGGGTGACATTGATGAAATTTGAAACCGATTCTTATGTGTGTGTGTGTGTTTGTGTGCATGTGAACAAATCCACATGAACTGCCAGGAGTAACTATTTTTGAAAAAACCGGAACCTAATCGTTTCGGCATTGCGCACCCATTTATTACGCCTTGGGTAAATTGGTGATTGCGCACCCATTTATTACGCCTTGGGTAAATTGGTGAGTATTGTAATTTGAAGCCGATATATATGTATGTGTGTGTGTATGTGCGTATGTCACACAATCTTCAAAAACTTGTTTTGTTGATTTTACTTACCACAATAAGTTGAAGAAATCAAGAGTAGCCATGCGATACTGATAATTCCTTTCATCGTTACATTGAAAGAATTCGTTGTCCAATTCATTAAAATAGACCGACAATTGGAACAATGCCAGGAAGATGGTAATTACACAGCAATTAAGTACATTTACGATTTAATTGGAGAAATTTACTCTGTTAGAAGAAAAAGTCGTGGTTATTAAAACTCGGCTAAAAGGAAATGTTACATTTCTGCTGTTTTAATCGCTCAAGTCTTTTTACAACGCTTTTTCTTGTTGTGCGCTTCAAACAAGGCCATCTACAAACAAACAGCCACTAATATCTGATGATGTAAACAGCTATTTATTCATTAAATCGTAATTAATAGGAAATGCTACATTTTTTCTGCCTCAATCGCTCAGTTCAATGATAAAACAGACAAGGCTGATACCTAATGATATAAGAATCTACTCACTTATTATTTATTAAATCTCAATTGATGAGATATGCTACATTTTTGGGAGCTCCGGATGTAAGTGTACCAATATGAAGGTAACTAATTTTGTTCGACTAATTTACATCAAGTTGTCTTAGGTGACTGAAATATATGGTGGTGTATTTGCTTGGCTAACACAGACAGTCGTCCCCAAACTCGCAATAGAACTAAAATAAGGAAAATCTGAATAAAAATAATCGCTTAACCCTAATATGGTACACACACTACGGAAGTACCCATTTTCGCTTCTTTAAACAAACGTTCAAAAATATTCAATTCTATTAAAGCCTAGCATACGCAATGGAACCCTTCCTAAAATCGTTCTGTTAGTTTTACCAATTAAATAAACCAGCCTGAACAGCGCAAAAATGACGATACAAAAAGGAAATGTATCAAATGTTTCCGTGACAGTCGTCTGACAAAAATGAGACTGCCTGCCTCATACAAATTTTCAAGTAAATACATTCTGTACATAGTATAGAACTAAATATGCCATCTTGTTACTTGTTATAACCAACCATATACAGTATTCCGAATTCCTTAATTGAAACCAAGAACAAATATAAGTTAGTTTTGTTAGTTTACCCAAATAATGATACTGCCTCATTTAAAACTATCATACGCAAGGAATCCCTTGTTGGAATCATTCTGTTAGTTTCCCCAAGCCACTAAATCTTGTTATAACCTACCATATGCAGTTTAATAAATTAATGATACTGCCCTATTTAAACCTAGCTCACTAACAACAGGTTCTCTCATGTGAAATGATGTAATTATGAGACTACATAATCTATATTGACATTACATAAATTTAATATATGACTTTTGAAAGTACAAATATAACGCTAGTTGCTATGCTACGATCGTCTAACGTCTGAGCACAATATTCCAGAAACAAGTTCGGGCGAACCCCGTGTATCTTAACACTTATGAAAACTAATTTTATTATCCTAGCAATGAATCCCTTTCCAAAATCATTCTGTTAGTTTTCTTAAGCAACTAAACCAGCCTGAGCAGCGCGAAAATGACGATACAAGGAAGGAGGAAATGTATCAAGTATTACTGCCTTATTAACGCACGTTTTCAACTTACGGCAATGTCATAATTGCAACCTTCTAATTGTATGAAAAACACCGGAATATGACGTGGGTTTAATAAAGGCGTACGTGGGATGGGATTCAGTTGCATCGTGACAATGTCAAGAATTCAACTAGACAGACTTTTTTTACGTACTACAAGAAAAAATATTGGTTGAAAAATAGATTATTAATTTAAATCTACAATTACATTTCAAACGGAAAATTTCTGGAGATTTGGGCATGCAATCAAAAATTTTCGCTAGATTTATAAAATTTTCTCCCTGTTAGAAAATTTTTTCTAGCACTATGAAAAAACGGCTAGAAAGAGTAAAAGATTTTTCGCTTATTTGCGAGAAAAATATCGGATACTGAAAGTAAAAACATTTATTGCTATATCTATTTAAACCATAACCAGATCATTAAAGTCACCACCTAACCGTATTGACGTACAATACCCGCTCAATATTTGGATCTTTGTACAAAGCCCCACCAAAAACTCACTCGCTCAAAATATAAATAAAATCAGTAATTATACAGTTATGGTTAGCGTAAGGGCTAGGAATGCAGACTGCAATGGAAATTCAAATTTCGAAATCCTTTCTGACTTTGACCCAAAGTGAAAAGTTACTAATTTGTTTTTGTTTTGAAACGTGGAGTGGTAAACGTGTTTTTCTCGAATCTCTCACAATCCAGAACCTAACCAATAAAGTCAGTTACCAACCAACCGCATTGACGTGCAATACCCGCTCAGTATTTTAAACAACGCGTTTCAAAAATATCCGACGTATAAAACAACAGCTCAACTATCTATACAAACCATCTATTCTATCAATAATGCACATTTTTAGGCGCCCCTGAAGTATGCGTTCCAAGATGGCGGACACCAGAACGTAGTATATGTACCAGGTTAGGGTTAGGCCATAATTTTAAGTACAAATACTACGGGAGTCACTTGGCTAGTCCCAGAACTTGTAATAGTACTAAAATAAAAAAAATTGGAATAAAATTATAGCCTAACCCTAACCTGGTACACACACTACGTTTCGGTGTCCGCCATATTGGTACGCATACTTCAGGAGTACCCATTTTTATTTTACCTACACAATCTCACAAGTCTTGTGTCAAAATAACCAATTTAACCAAGAGAAGAATCTAGCTTAGCGAAAATCAAACTTGTCCAACGATTAGGCAGATGAAGAGGTGCCTCAGAGGTATGTGCACCAATATGTGGGAAAATAATTTCCTTCGTCTACTTTACATCAAGTTGTATAAAGGGACTGAAGCTTATGGGCAGAGGGTATATTCACTTGGCTAGGACAGACAGTCCCCGAACTCGTAATAGAACTAAAATAGAGAAAATTTTAATAAACTTATGCTCTAACCCTAACCTGGTACACACACACTACGGGAGTAACGATGGAGGTTTACAACAACATTTCTAGCAACATTTCTAGTCTCTATTTTTCAAATAATGAAAGTTAATATTCAGAACTGGTAGAGGAAAAAATGCTTGAGATAGAGAAAAAGAGAGATTGCAACACGTAGAAGTATTCAAACGACAAAGTGTCAAAACAACAGAGATACATTGGACAAGGGTTAAATCCGAAAATGGGATTACACGTTTGAATATATACAAACAACGTGAAGTTTGTTGTTCTCACGCTCATAGCGGGAATATCGGTCGATCTAACTTAAGGGTAAGTTTGGGGAGAGAGATCGAGAACATATGTTGATATTGGAGAGCAACACGTTTGCCAACCGGGGTGAACCGGGGGAGAAATTTTCTTCGTATACTTGTTGTAGTATTTAATGCAATGGTTCTCAAACATTTTAAGCCGCGCTGCTCTTTCAGGATTTGTCAAGTCTCGCACCCCACCTCAAAAATAACTAGCTAGCAATAGTAGTAGGGGCGAATATATGTTTTATTCGAAAAACACATTGAAAATACCTGGATGGAATCGCAATGTCTGAAATGTAAATATCCGAAATAAGGCGGGCAAGATTAAATCTAACAAATATTTTTGTTTTTAATCAGCTTCCGCCCCCTCACAAATTTTCTACTCCCCTTTGTGTAGCGTGACCCATCAAAAAAGTAGCATTTAAAATTTTAGTATTTAAAATATGATATTCCATGAGTTTTTTTTTGAACACATATTAAACTACTTAAAATTAACTAAAATGGGAGTGCGACACTTGAAATTATAAAGCAGTTTTATGCGTAAGGAAATAGAAGTTCCTAAATAGGCGGAGGAATTTAACAAAAAATGGTTGAAAACGACTGATTTAAAAAATTTCAATTTTGTATGCAAATTTGAATTCATGGAAACAATATTTAGACTCGGAAATACCTGTTTGAAATGTAATGCCAGTCGAAGCAAAGTCACAATTTAATGGAAACATTCATTGAGTGCTATTATATATATATATATTCATCAGTTTCAATAGAATACATCAGTTCGTTGTTTTCTGGGCATTCAAACACCATTGAACAATATATCGACTAACCAATGGTGCATAGGTGGTGGTAATCCAAAAACGCATATCAATGAATGCTGTCTAGAGACTTGCAGCAAAAACACTAATTAAAATTTAAATAATCTCAGCGGAAAAAATGGGAATTTTGACCGAACTTTAGTTTATTAAAATGTAAAATTCTGGCAAGTAGGTTTCATGGGATAGGGTAAATATCATACAATTTGCTTTATTTTTGATAGGTGTAAATAAGTGAATCTCCTCTAACGCCAATAGCAGTGAATGCTTGCCTTGAGACTTATTCTGAGACATAACACTTACAAAATATAACTCATTTTAGCAAGGAAGAAGTTTTGTTCTTTAAAAAGTAGGCTACATGAGTTAGGCTAGATATCATACAATGCCCTTTCTTTTGTAACAGGTGTAAATAAATAAATATTTTCTAACGCCTTCGGCAATTTAGCAATCAACAAAACACATTGACAGTCCAACAACACAAACAAAATATATTATATTCTCCTTGAAGGCAAATCATTGTAAATCTGTCTAATCATCATCATGTTACGGGTTTTACAAGCATTTCATGTCTTTGATCTTGCATTGATGACCACTTAGCTATTAACACTTTGAGTGCATAGATTAGCGCAGTGGTTCTCAATCTCTCTCGATATATTTCTTCCTGAACACTGAATTAATACGTGTGGGAAGTAAATTCAAAGGGTCGATTGTGAGTTGGGGTTATGATTTTAGGAACAATACAATAACACTGAGAAGAATATAACTATTAAGTAGGGTTTACGCTAGACTAATCACATTTTCTTGCTCTATGCCTATGCGCAAGTGAGTCCGTATTCGTATAATACGAGAATGCAGTAAGTAGCAAGAATGCCTATTCCATTTGATTCAAGAGTCTTGCTTTATTACTGTAAATACTGTATTGCTGGAAATAACCTCTTCATGGATATCACGAATACTCTGTGAATAGATTTTTTGGTACTCCTGAAGTATGCGCACCGAGATGTCGCACAACCTGAACCCTAACCTGGTACACAACCTGAGTTCAGGTTGTGCGCCATCTTGGTGCGCATACTTCAGGAGGTCCGATTTTTTTTGTATTGTTTTCATGCTTTTGTGTACTTTATTT